ACTCCAGAGCGTTTCCACGGCCCCCTGGCCTCCACGGCAGGGGCCCCCCATGCACCATCTGCCCCTACCTCTCTGGGAGTGCCAGTTGCAGTGCAGGCGCAAGGCCGGCATGCTCCGTCACGACAGCCCAGGGACATGAGCCCCCGCAGAGGCTGCACGGCCGGGACAGGCAGGGCCGGGGCACTGGAGGGGCCACGCAGGGAGCGGGCGTCCAGTTTGGGGGTGAGGCCCGGGTGATCACTCGCTCCAACCACGAGCTGCCACCCAGTTTCACACCTTGACATAGAATCTGAGGGGACAGTCTGATGGGGTGTCTGGCCCGACCCAGAGCAGCAAGTGAGAACTCAGGGTCCCCGAGAGCCCCCCTCCACCAACTGGGGCACCGGGAATCCCTGGGTCCAGCCCAGGTTCCAACCGACCGGGCACAAAAGCCAGGGCTTGGGGCCAGGGTCTGAGAGGGGAATGAGGCGGACGGGGCAGGCGGCTGGCCCCGCCTCACCCTGAAACCAGGCTGGCTGCATCTCGGCCCCACATAGACGCGTCCACAGTCTCTGCCCCCCACCTCCCTGCTCAGGCACAAAGCAGGGGGCATCCCCAAGACACGGCCCCGTGGTGTCTCTGCCCACTTCAGGGCACCCATGTCTACAGGTCCCGGCCAGGCCGGCTGCCCAGACAATGAGGGACCTGGCGGCAGCAGGGCTGGCCAGGGAGGACAGACACCGGGCCCTGCCTCACTCCGCACACCCCAAGCCCGCCGCCGAGGGACCGGGGCCAAGCGTCCTCCCTCCTGCGTGCCCCCAAACCAGCCTTTTGCCAAACAGTCAATAAATTATTCAGTTTGCAAAGTGCCATTATGTGTGAGTTTACTTAATTGAATAGAATAATTTATGGCAAAACCTGGGGAGAGAAAGATCGATGAGGCTTGGTGAAGAGTGATTGAGTTTCAGTGAAGGCAATTAGATTTTGATCCCTCATTATAATAATGTTCCGGCGAGCCGCGCCGGGGTCGGAATCAATATTTGCGGAGCGGCTGGACCATGAATTTTAACTGGGGGTGGCGAGGCGCTGGCCATCGCGGCTGTGATTGATGCCACCACCGACGCCCGCGGCGGGGGGTCCGGGCGCCTGCCCCCCGCAGACTCGCTGCTGATCATAAAAGGTGATTTAGAAGCATTTGCTCGCCGCCCACACGGCACACCCCGACGTGATTCATGGCAACTCGCAGCTCCCACAAATCCCCCCGGGCAGATGGCACCGTGGTCTGGATGCTCCTCGGGCCCCGGGCTGGCTCCGGGCGGCGGTGGGTGCCGTCAGCAGCACCCCCAGACCTCCTGGCCCCGCTGGCCCGAGGGCAGCTGCCACCCTGTCTGCTCAGGGGCCACGGAGGCAGTCCCAGTTGTGGGGTGCTCCCTCCCCCAGTGCTCCTGGCTGCAGCTCAGGGTAGTGGCTGTGGCCCGGGGCCTCCATAATCAGAACCATCAGGCGCCGAGGAGTGCCCAGTGGGTGCCCAACCGCAGCCACACCCCTCGCCTCACCCCTGCATGCCCGCTAGGCTCCTGTAAGCTCCCAGGGCTGAGCAGTGCTGGCAATGTTCCCTTCGGGCGCAGCCACTCCCAGGACTGTGCGCAGGATCAGGGCTCACTGCAGGGCTGAGACAGACCCCGACCTCGAACCCGGGTCCTCGGGGGCGCAAGGCACACCTGCACCCCCAAGCCCCGAATGAACTCCCCAATACCCAGAAACGTTTCCCGTGACGTGAGGGTCCCCTCCAGCCTTAGCAGGTGGGAGTGCTGGTGCGGGGGGTGATGGTGAGGGGGGTGTGAGGGGGGGTGATGGACGGGTGGGTGGGTGATGGGGGTGGGTGGGTGGGTGGGTGGATGTCAGTGGAGGGATGACGAATTGGTGGGTGGGTGATGAGGGTGATGGGGTGGGTACAGAAGCAGGTGAGAGGCGGGTGGGTGGGTGATGGATGAGGGGTGGGCATGCAGGGGGCTGACGCCACAGGTGAGCGTGTGGGGCGCTGAGCAGGGACCCGCGAGGCCGGGAAACTGCTGCCGGAGAGCGGCAGGAAGTCTCCTGGGACACGTGCTCTCCAACAAATGGCTGAGAGGGAGGCGGCCCCAGGCATCGTACCGGTGCCAGCTCCTGGTACCCAAGAGTCTTTCTGAGTGGGCGGATGGGCAGACAGATGGACAGACGGCTGGACCGAGACCTGGACTGGAGCGGGAGCTGGAGTGGGCAGCCGCCCGCCCTGTGACGGGGGTCTCCTGCACCAGTCTCTCACACAGGGAGCTGGGGGCCTGTGGACCCCGCATCTGAAGGGGCAGGGTCTCCCGGGGCCCCCGGGAGAGGAGTCTCTGGGAGGAAGGGGAAGGGGCTAAAACCCCCCAGGTGGGAGCCAGGGAGAAGATGGGGTGCAGGGGGGCAATGCAACCCCAGGACTGGGGGCCATGGGGCCAGTGGGAGGGCATGGGGAAGGCACGAAGGGAAAGGGCTGTGGGAGCCCCCCAGACACAAGAGGCCACGTGCAGCCATGCCCCTGCACCCCGCAGATGGGCACCCCATGGAGATGCCAGTATTCAGGCACGGACCTGGACCCCGACTCGGAGCAGGCTGGTCCTCAGGAGGCACCCCGTGGGCAAAGCCCCTCAGAGCTCACAGACACTCCCCGATTCTGGCCGCCCTCAACCCCCAGGCCCCTGACCCCCAGGCCTCTAACCTCCCAGCCCCCTGACCCCTGATCTCCCCCAGCCCCCTGACCCCCAGCCCAGGCACAGCCTCCAGGGACAGAGGACCGTGGGTTCGCCCTGGGACAGAGGTGGCCACTCCCGGCTCTGCCCCCAGAGGCCCTGCAGGGGCCCCGCCCGCACCCTCCTCTGGCCACCAGGGGGCTCTGCGCCCCAACTGCCCTGGCGAGTGAGGGTTCCTGCCCCTGCTGCCCGCAGCCTCCTCTGGAGGGATGATCCCCATGCCAGCATCCCCAGAAGCCTGCCTGCGCCCCCACAGCCCATCCTGGCCCTCACATGGAGTGATCAGACCCAGGCCATGCGCCCCAGGCGGCCGGCGGGGGTCCTGCACACCCAGGCCCGCGCTCCCCACGCCCCTGCGTGAGTCCCCCTCAGCGTCCCTGCTGGCTGAGCCCCACGAGGCCCCTCCTGAGTGACCGCTGCCCAGGAACGACAGGGCGGGTGGGGGCCGGACAGGATGGGGGCAGCCCGGAACGTTCCCACCAGCCGTGCCCCCTCCAGGGGTCTCAGGCACAGCAAGGACCCTGCTGCCGCTCACACACAGCAGGCCACGGGCACGAGCCTGACAGCGCTCCTCTTCTAGAAACGTCCGCCTGGCTGACCCGCAGCAAAGGCCCAGGCCCGCGGCACCACTGGGCTTATCTGGGGCTCACGGGGCAGGAAGGCGCTGGGAGGGGGGACAGGGTAGACTGGGGGGAGGCGGGGGGATGGGGGTTCGGACTGCCCACGGGCAGGCTCCAGAGTGGCTGAGATTTCCCTCCTCTGCTGCTGACCCTTAGCCGCCGGGCCTGGACTCCAGGAGCCCTGGGGCAGGGCAGTGGGCACTGGGGGAGGCGGGAGTGTGGGCCTGGTGGCCGGCCTGGGCTCTGAGCCTCTGGCCCCACAGGAAGCCCCTCCCGGGTCCCGGCCCCCCGCCTCGCCTCAGCTTCCTGCGGAAGCGGCGGACAATGTCCACGCCGGGCCCGGGGCTTCCTGCTGGCGCCCACCCAGGCCCGGCCCGCAGGTGCCCCCACCGGGAGGCGGCAGGGCTACGCGCCACCCCCCAGACCAAGACACTGGTCCCGAGGGCCCAGCCCCAGCTCAGGGCAGTTGGCCTGGGGAAGCCGGAAAGGGGCCCTGTGCAGGCCCCACATGGGCACCCCGTGGGCACCTCCAGAGCACCCGGCACCCTTGAGAGGCCCCTGGTAGAGCAGCGCTCACAGGGGCGAGGCTCTGCCTGAGGACAGCGTTGATGCTTTGGTGGTGCCAGAGCGTCTAGGACCCAGCACCTACCTCCAGGCACCGCCCACAGCCCCCATACCAGGCCCCGCCCACAGCCATCCAGGCCCCGCCCACCAGACTCCACCAGGCTCCGCCCACCAGGCCCAACACCAGTTTCTTCCCACAGCCAATCCAGGCCCCGCCCACCAGCCCATCCAGGCCCCGCCCACCAGGCCCCGCCCACATCACATCCAGGCTCCTCCCACCAGACCCCACACTAGGCCCCGCCCATCCAGACTCCTCCCGCTGGGCTCCTCCCACCAGGCACCTCCCTCCAACCCCCACCAGGACTGCCCCACAGACACTGCCACCAGCCCCCCAGGCTCCGCCCTCCAGCCCCTCCACTGTCAGACCCCTGCCCCAACACCTCAGCTACCCCAACCAGGTGCTCCAGCGCAAGACCAGCTGTGCTCCATCTACTCCTAGAGCACCTGAGCCCAAGCCCTGACTCGGACAGGCCCCTGGTCCCTGCTGGGCATGGCTGGGCCTCTGGAGAGCCCCGGGTCCTGCTATGGCCCATGGCGGCTGGGCGCAGGACAGGACACAGGGTGAGGACCTGCTGCTCGTGCTCAGACCCCAGGAGGCCCTCCTGCCTCCCCCTCGGTGCTTCCCCTCTCCCAGATGACCTGACCCAAGGGGTGGCCTCCACACTGCCCAGGTTGGAGGGTCCCTCAGCCACCCTGATCTGTGCCCAGAGTCCCCAGGGGGCAGCCGTGGAGGCTGGGGACCACTCAGCATTGGACAGAAGCAGGTTTGGGGAGAAGCTGGAGGCCCCCCTGCAGGCATAAGGAACCCCACAGGCCATGGGAGCCGCCACTGCACTCACCCACCCTGCAGATGGGTCTCTGGGTAACGAGGGCACAGAGGGAGCCACGTGGGGCGGGGGGCAGAAACAGGGAGCTGGCAACCCTGGAGACAGCCCCCCATTCTCTCTAGGCTAAGGCCATCAGGGTACAGAACTCTGGAGCCCTGGGAACAACGGACGAGTCTTTATTCACAAACAGGCTGTACACGCCGGAGGCAGCGCATGTGGGCCGGGGACCACCCAGGGTCGCGTCCATAAAAAACAGTAAAAACATAAACCATTTGTTTATGTAAAAACATAAAACCCGATGCAGAAACAGTAGAAAAATAGGCCCCAGAGGGATGAAGCCTCGAGACCCGGCTCCTGTGGTCTGGGTGAGACCCACCCTGAGGTCTGTGCTTGGCTGGCCCAGGGGCTGCCCGGCACATCAGGTCAGTGGCCCTGGGGACCCCTGAGTCCTGGCAATCTGGCCAGGGGGTGCCCAAGACCCGGGAACTGCTAGAAAGGGGGATGGATGGCTGACCACCTGCCCCGTCCACGGCCCAGCCAGACCACACACAGGTTCCCCTCAGCCAGACTGGTGTGGGACCCTCGGCTGGGTCCACATGGGGGTCCCCGTGGCGGGACCCGGCGGGCCCAGTGCTCAGCGCCCAGTGCCGGGGACACACCCAGTCCGTAAAGGCACTTGCATGTCCTCAGCCACCGGCTTCCTGTGGTCACGCGTCTGTCCCACAGGACCCAGATCCACGCTCTGTCTGCGCCCTCTGCCGTGACCGCTGGTGCTCAGACATCCACCTCCTGTGGCCCCGGGGCAGCTGCGGGGCTGGCGACACTGATGTCGAAGCAGGTGACCATCATGACGTGCGCCTTGCACAGGTTCACGCAGCGCTCCAGGGCCGCGGTGGCCCGCTCCAGGGCGGCCAGGTGCTCCGCCGACTCGCGCTCCAGCTCCGGGCCCACCTCGACTGGGGGCATAGGAGTCGTCAGCATGGGGGCCTGGGGGCCACTGAGCCCCCCACAGACTAGAGAATGCAAGGGAGGGGCGCTGGGGGTGGCAGTATGGGGGCTCTGGGGAACAAACACACCGGAAGGGCTTGCCACTGACCAGGATGGCTCCCTGCTGACCAGCGAAGGAACCCCGCTGACCAGGGAAAGGGACTCCCTACTGACCAGGAAGAGTCTCCACTGACCAGGAAGGATCCCTGCTGACCAGTGAAGGGGCTTCTTGCTGACCAAGAAGGGTCCCACTGACTAGGAAGGATCCCAGCTGACCAGGAAGGCTCCTAGCTGACCAGGGAAAGGGGCTCCCTACTGACCAGGAAGGCTTCCCGCTAACTAGGAAGTCTCCCCGCTGACCAGGAAGGCTCCCTGTTGACCAGGAAGGGGTTCCCCGCTGACCAGGGAAAGGGACTCCCCACTGACCAGGAAGCCTCCCCGCTGACCAGGAAGGCTCCCTGTTGACCAGAAAGGGGCTCCCCGCTGACAAGGAAGACTCCCCGCTGACCAGGGAAAGGGACTCCCCACTGACCAGGAAGAGTCCCCGCTGACCAGGAGGGCTCCCCGCTGCCCCAGCAGGCAGGACTCACACTGCTCCAGCCAACGGCCAGGCTCCAGCATCAGCCGGCCCTGGGTCTCGGCCAGCTCCCCGCGGAGCAGCGCGTGCTTGGCCAGGACCTCCCGGAGCCTCTGCTGCCTGCGCTCAGCCAGCCGCAGCTTCACGCTTGCACACACCAGGCCCTGGCGGAGATGGGGTGGGCTCAGGCAGAGGGACCCCTGCTCCCCTGGGCTCCCAAGACCCCTCACTGGGCCAAGGGGGGACCTGGCCCAGCTGAGGGAGCCCCCGCCCCATCCGCCAATTAGGTGTGGCAGGACAGACTCGGGGCTCGCTGCTACCTTCTCCGTGTCCTGGGAGGGCTGTGGACAGAAAGAAAAGAAGGTGGGTCAGCCGGCTGTCCCAGCAAGCTCCCGGGGCTCTGCCCCCGAGCCTCCCACAGCCCCAAGCCCCACCTCGGCCGGGTCCTCCCTGGGGGGCGGCCGGAGCCGCTGCAGACGCTCCACGTCGTCAATCTCATACACCTTGATCTCAAAGGGCTCCTTAAGCACGCCGGCCAGCGGGGGCGGCAGGTCCACCCACTGCCCCGGGAGGCCTGGCTTGCGGCCCAGGGCAGAGGTGTCGGGCAGCGGGGTGGGAATCAGCCTGCGCCGCTGTGGCCCTGGAACAGGGAGCAGGGCTAGGCGACGGGTGCGGGAGCCCAGCCCCAGGTGGGGTCCTGCAGGAGTGCACCCGTAGTGTAGCCCTGCCTCTCAGCCGCTATTCACGCCCACAGCCCCACCCCGCCCACCACCTTTCTCATAAGCCCCGCCCCTGACCACCAGCCCCGCCCCCTACCCTTCCTATCAGCCCCACCCTCCATCCCTAGCCACGCCCACCAACTCCACCCGCCCCTGACCACGCTCACCAACCCCACCCTCTACCCCTAACCCTGGTCACACCCACCTGCCCTCTACCCTTCCCTTCAGCCCCGCCCTCCATCTCTAACCCCGCCCACCAACTCCACCCCGCCCCTGACCACACCCACCAGCCCCACCCTCTACCATAACCCCGCCCACCAACTCCACCCGCCCCACCCCTACCCTAACCCCGCCCCTGACCACACCCACCAGCCCCACCCTCTACCATAAACCCGCCCACCAACTCCACCCGCCCCACCCCTACCCTAACCCCGCCCCTGACCACACCCACCAGCCCCACCTTCTACCATAATCCCGCCCACCAACTCCACCCCCTACCCTAACCCCGCCCCTGGACACGCCCACCAGCCCCGCCCTCTACCTTAACCGCGCCCCTGGCCTCATCCACCTGCCCCGCCTCTCCATCTAGCCGCTCCCACAGCCCATAGGTCACTTGCCACGCCCACCAGCCGGGACTGTGCCCTACTCCGGTCGGCCTCCTCTGCGGGTGGTCCCCAGGACCCCCGGGCCTCAGGATCCACGAGCCCCACGGTACCCCCTGCGCCCCACCGGCCTCCTGCCTCCCGCCCCCGCATCCCAAGGTGGGCGCGTGGCAGGGCCGGGCCCTGGGGACCCACGCCCGCCAACCACCCTCGCGGGGCCGCCACACCTACCCACGGCCCGCCTCTTGGGGGACTTGAGGCTGCGGGCGCGCGAGCCCGGGGAGGCGGCGCCGCTGTCGCTCAGGGAGTCGGGCGCCGAGGAGGCGCTGCCCGTGGCCTCGCTGTCGCGCATCACGCTCTCGTAGCCGCTGCTGGCGCCGCTCTGGTAGAAGAGCGCGGTGCGGCCCATGGCCGGGGGCAGCTCCCCGCTCAGCACGCTGCTCGTGTCGCTGCCGTGGCCGCTGCTGCAGCGCTGCGGCCGGCGCGGGGCCGTGACCGTGCTGTAGGGCGAGGGCAGCGCCGGGCCCGGCCGCTCCTCGCCCACGATCACGCCGCTGTCGTTGCCGCTGTCCGAGTCGGCCGAGCCCCAGGACGCGCCGCCGCTGGCCGCCAGCTCGTGCACGCGGCTGTGGGCAGCCCGGAGGGCCTGCTTGGTGCCCATGATGGTGCCCCGGCCGGCCTTGGGCCCCACGCTGGCCGCGGAGCGGGGCGACACCCGCGGGCTCTGCACAGGGCCGATGGGAGTCCGGGCTGCCGCGGGGGGCGGCGGCTTCGCGGAGGCAGCCGGGGCCCGAGAGCCCCCGGTCCCCAGGCTGCGGCCCTTGCCCGCACCGGCTGGGGGCTTGCAGACCCCCACGCCTTTGGCAGCGCCGCCCCTGCAGGCAGGCCCAGACGCAGCGGTGGGGCTGGTGGGAGGCACCCCCAGCCTGGGCACTGCCCGAGCTGGCCTCCCAGCAGCCTCACGGGAGGCCTTGCCGGGCGCCGGCCCCTCACTCCGCTCCACAGAACCCTGCACTGGGGCCCGGCCGGCTGCGTCCACCCTCCCGGGCCGGCCCTTGAGGCTGCTCGTGGCCCTGGGCCCGCAGTGCTCAGCCCAGGCACTGGCGCGCATCTCCTCTGCCCGCGGCAGGGCTGGTGTTGGGCTGCCCCTGGGCTCCAGGCTGGACTTGCGCACAGGGGGGGCGGGAGGCGCGGAGGCAGCAGGCCTGGGGGCCACAGTCTTCTTACCACCGGCGACCACCTTCGAGCCGCCTGGGCAGGCTGCTGCCTCGGCAGCCCCGCCAGGGGCCGTGGCCGTGGTCACGCCCAAGGTGGTGGCCCCCCTCCGCAGAGGAGGGGGCTGGGCAGGCCCAAGGCCGCGGGAGGCCCTGGCAGCCCCGTCCCCGCCTTCCACCGGCCTCCGGGCACTGGCCACCACGGGGGCTGGGCCGGCTGGTGGCGCTGGGAGAGACCCGCACTCATCAGCCCGGAGCAGCCAGGGGTCCTCGAAGGGGCCCCCCGGGCTGGGCGGGCTGGGGACGGCTGCCGAGCTAGTCCGGGCTCTCCGGGGAAGGCTGGAGTGGAGGGTGCGGGTGGACACAGCCCCCCGGGGAGACGGGCTGGGGGGGCCCTGGCTGCTGTGAGCGGGGGCGGGCAGGGCCCCCTCCCCAGGACGAGAACCAGGGGCCGGGCCCGGGCTGTCCACTCTGGCGCGCTCTGAGGCCCGCGAGCCGCTGTCCTCCAGGGAGCCATCCGGGGTGGGGGCGCGCCGGGGGCCGGGGCTGAGGGGGTCCGGGCTGACCCCCGCCTCCACCTCGCTGAGCCACGAGCTGACGGAGGAGGCGTGGCTGCGCGCGGTGTAGGCGTCAAACTCGTCGTTGACGCTGCTGATGATGCTCACGGGCCGGGAGCCCGAGGCCAGGGCCTGCAGGGAGCAGTCGCTGCCGAAGCTGGCCAGGCTGGCCCGGCGCCCGGGGCTGCCCAGCGGCAGCTCCTCCACCACCGTGAACACCAGCTCGTCCTCCCCGTTCAGCACCACGGGCTGCTGCAGCGTCACCGTGGCCGTGAGCAGGCCGTGCTCCGCGGGGTGGCCACGGGCGGCCGGGCAGGGGCGGCCGGCCTGCCCGCTCCGTCCCACGGGCGGCACCCGCACCCCGGGCTCCTGCGGGGGCGGCGGGGCCGGGTCGGGCAGCGGGCGCCTCTCCGAAGGCCCCGAGTCCTTGTCCCCCGCGAGGGGCTCGCACCTGGGGGCCCCGCGGGGGGTGCCGGGGCAGGCGGCCCGCGGGGAGCCCCCGGCCGCGGGCGGCGAGGGTCTCCGGCCCGCCGGGCCCCCGGCCGCGTCCCCGTGCATGCCCTGCAGCCTCTCCTGCAGCTCCGCGAAGGTGCCGCAGCGGAAGTGGTCGGCGTCGCGCGGGTCCTGCGAGGGCCGGCGGCGGCTCAGGGCCGGCACGATGGGCACGAAGTCGGGCGGACCCTCGTTGTCCGTGAGCTCCCGGTCCGACAGCACCGTCCCCTCGGGCCCCACGTAGATGACCGTGTCGCAGGACTGCTCGCTGCTGGACGAGTAGTCGGGGTCCCCGGGTCCCTGTCGCCTGGGCTCTGGGGCCAGCGCGCGGGGCTGCGGCGGCCGCAGGGCGGGAGGGCGGCGCGCTCGGCCTTCCTCGCAGGAGCTGTCCCCGCCCGACGAGCTGGACGCGCACTGCGGGGAGCGGAGCGGGCAGGTGAGGGCGGGGCGGGTGTGGGCGGGGCAGGGGAGGGAAGGGGCAGGGGAGGGCTGGGGCTGGGGCAGGGCAGGGCAGGACGGGCCATTGAGGGCGGGGCAGGTGTGGGTGGAGCAGGTGAGGGCGGGGCTGATGTGGGCGGGGCTGATGTGGGCGGGGCTGATGTGGGCGGGGCAGGGGAGGGAGGAGCAGGGGAGGGCTGGGGCAGGGCAGGACGGGCCATTGAGGGCGGGGCAGGTGTGGGTGGAGCAGGTGAGGGCGGGGCTGATGTGGGCGGGGCTGATGCGGGTAGGGCAGGGGAGGGAGGAGCAGGGGAGGGCTGGGGCAGGACAGGACGGGGCCATTGAAGGCGGGGCAGGGGAGGGCGGGACAGGTGTGAGTGGAGCAGGTGAGGGCGGGGCAGGGGAGGGAAGGGGCAGGGCAGAACGGGGCCATTGAGGGCGGGGCGGGGACAGGTGTGGGTGGAGCAGGTGAGGGCGGGGCTGATGTGGGCGGGGCTGATGCGGGTAGGGCAGGGGAGGGAGGAGCAGGGGAGGGCTGGGGCAGGACAGGACGGGGCCATTGAAGGCGGGGCAGGGGAGGGCGGGACAGGTGTGAGTGGAGCAGGTGAGGGCGGGGCAGGTGAGGGCGGGGCTGATGTGGGCGGGGCTGATGCGGGTAGGGCAGGGGAGGGAAGGAGCAGGGGAGGGCTGGGGCAGGACAGGACGGGGCCATTGAAGGCGGGGCAGGGGAGGGCGGGACAGGTGTGAGTGGAGCAGGTGAGGGCGGGGCAGGTGAGGGCGGGGCTGATGTGGGCGGGGCTGATGCGGGTAGGGCAGGGGAGGGAAGGAGCAGGGGAGGGCTGGGGCAGGACAGGACGGGGCCATTGAAGGCGGGGCAGGGGAGGGCGGGGCAGGTGTGGGTGGGGCAGGGGAGGGAAGGGGCAGGGCAGAACGGGGCCATTGAGGGCGGGGCGGGGACAGGTGTGGGTGGAGCAGGTGAGGGCGGGGCTGATGTGGGCGGGGCAGGTGAGGACGGGGGGGGGGGGAAGGGGAGGGGTAGGGGAAAGGAGGGGCAGGTGACGGCAGGGGCAGGGCAGGGCGGGGCCAGTGAGAAGGGGGGAGGAGAGGGCGAGGCAGAGGAGGGAGGGGCACGGGAGGGGAGGGCATGTGAGGGCGGGGCAGGTAAGGGCAGGACAAATGAGGGGGGGCCGATGAGGGACGAGCAGGTGAGGGCGGGGCCGATGAGGGTGGGGCGGGGCAGGCCAGTTGAGGGGCCATTGAGGGCGGGGCCGGTGGAAAGGGGGCCAGGGGAGGGGGGCAGGTGTGGGCGGGGCCGGTGAGGGGTGGGGCCAGTGAGGGGGGCCGGTGTGGGCGGGGCCGGTGGGGTTGGGGTCGGTCCACCCAGCCCGGCACTGCGCCCCGCAGGCAGCACCCACCTTGGCCTTCTTCCTACGCAGGCGGTGGATGCGGGCGGCCAGCTGGACGGTGCCCAGGGTCTCTGCGTGCCAGGCGGGCGAGTCTGACACGTGGGCGATCATGGTGGTGCGGCCACTGTGCGTGGCCAGGGACTCCCGCAGCAGCATGGTGAGCCGGTGCTCCCTGGGGGCGAGAGGACCCCTCCTCTGAGCCGGCCGGCGGGCCCATAGCTCCACGCACACGCGCACCGGGCACCCCGAGGAGCCTCACCTGTAGGGCACGTGCTTGGCTCCGCTGACCAGGGCTAGGATGACGCTGCCCAGGGCCGACAGGGACAGGCACAGGGGCCCCCCAGGACCCTCCCCACCCCTGTCGGGCCCCCGCTCGAGGCTGCCCAGGTCGATGAGGTGCAGGCGGCTGCGGCCCCCCAACACTGAAAGCAGAAAGCACGGGGCAGGTGGGTGCGGAGCTCCCTCCACCCCCCGCGCGCCCACCCCCACCGCCGTCCCGGCACCTACTCGCGCCCTTGCCACACTTCTCCAGGCGGGTACTGGTACACGTGCAGCGTGAAGAGCAGGTGTGCGGCCCCCGCGTCCTCCCGGCCGGCCCCGCGGGCAGCCAGCGCCGCGTCCAGGTAGGAGGCTGCCTGCTCGGCCGTGGGCGCCCGCAGCTCGCTCTGGGTCTGCAGGTGAGGGCAGCGCAGGGGGGTGTCTAAGGGCCTGGGTCGGGCACCCGCATCCCCACCTCCCCGCCCCCCTGCCTCCCCGCGACTGCCCACCTGCGCCCCGCACGCGGGGTCCTCCCGCAGACACACGCCTGGGGGCTGGGTGTCCTGGAGGCCTCCCGGGGCCACCTCGGCCAGCAGGTCCCGCAGGCTGGCGTCGCGGCCACACACCTCGACGGCTGAGACGCGGATGGAGAAGCGGGTGCCCGTGCGCTCCCGACGCTCCTCCAGCAGCCGGAAGAGCCAGGAGATGGCGCAGGGCACCACGCCCAGGCTCTGCGGGGAGCTGTCCTTCCCGATCATGGTATGCGCCGTGCCTGCAGGCCGCCGGACACCCGTCACCGCCCTGGGCAGCCCCGTCCCACCCCACCCTGGGCAGCCCTGCAACACTGTCCCATCCCACACCGGCCCGGCTGGGACACCTGGTAAGGCCCAGCACTTACCCAGGCTCCTGGGGCCGAAGGAGAAAATGCAGCCGTCGGCGCCGCTGACCACACACTGCAGGACGTCGGCCACCGCGCCCGAGCACACCTCCGCCTGCGGGCAGCCCTCACTGCAGCCGGTGCCCCTCAGATCACAGCCTGAGCCCACCCTCCAGCAAGGCAACGTACACACGCTCATGCACACATGCTGCACTCACACACTCAGGCTCACACACACGTACACACCCAGCACAGGCATAGTCGGGGTTCACACACGCACACATGTGTATACACCTAACACAGTTAGGCTCACACACACCACACATGCCCACGCGGTACACACTCCACATTCACACACATACACCACTCTGGCGGGACACAGCCAAACCCTCAGGGAGTGGTTCGGGGGGCGAGGGGGGACATGGGCCAGGCTTTGGCCGGGATGGGGCCCCACCTGCTCGGAGTCCTGGGGGAACACGGCATCGAAGGCAAACATCTTGGGGGCCGCAGCTGCAGAGGCCCGTCGGGGACCCGCTCTGCCTGGTGGCCCCGCGGCCGGGTCGTACAGAGTCACCTGCTTCCTCCGCGGGTCCACCTTCAGGAAGGACGAGGCCTCAGGCCCCTGTGCTGGCCAGACCCGCAGCAGGACCTTCACCTAGGGGACAGCAGGGCCAGGTTGCATGGACACACCAAGGAGCACAGAAGCCCCCCGGGGCGGGGGTCCCAGGGAGCTCAGCAAGGCCAGAAGCCCAGTGGCACGGCAGGGAGACACGGGGAACACGGGGGCGGGGGAGGGGACACTGATGGGAGGCAGGAAGGAGGGGGAACAGGTGGAGCACACGCCTGGGGCAGGGATGGAAGCTCCAGCAGGTCCAACCCAGCCGGGGGCGGGGGGGGGGGGGAGGAGGGGAGCCCGCCCTCTGGCCCCCTCGGGCCCCAGACCAGGCGGCCCAGGCCAGGCTGGACTCTGGGGGACAACCGCGGCCAGCCAGGGTTCCGGAAGCCTCTATGCTGTCCCCCAAATCTAAGTTCCCACACACCCGTGTGGGCTCCTCACGCCCTCTGTGGCCCCATGTGCCGGCCCTGGGCCGGGCAGCGCCGGGCAGGCGCCCACCCCACGGGCCCTGGGGAGGATGGGCTCGGGTTTCCCGCCGCGGGAAAATCGAATCAGCAGCTTCGCTTCAGAGGCAATATTTTTCAGGGATTTAATTGTAAGTGACAGATACATAACGTGGGCAAATTGGCCGGCGCGGCGTGTGCAGACGCCGCCTCTCCCCCAGAGCAAACGTGCTCGCAGGCGGCGAGGCGGGGTCCCGGGGGGAGCAGCGCCCCCCAGCACCGGGCATCGCGGCTCCATTAGGCGGGAATCGATTCCTTTATTCCCCGACGACGTGAACGAAACTATTTCATTTCTAAGCGCCGCTGCCAAGCTGACGAAAATGTGCACTTCCCGGTAATTTTGGGCAATTTTTTTCCAGCATGAACTCACGGCCACTTGAGGAGGCAAATGGGTTCTGCAGATTGAGAGCGGGAGGACGCGGAGCGGCCCCAGGCGGGGCCATTGTCCTCAGCTCACAGCGAGGGGCAGGGGCTGGGGGGCGCCCTGGGAGGGGGCTGGGGACGCCGCGTCCAGCTGCCTCTGTGCGGCTGAGGGGCTGAGTGAAGCTGGAGGCCTCGGGCCGGCGCAGTGCCAGGGGCGGAGGGCACACCATAGGGGGCGCTGGGGTCCCCCAAAGGCAGGCCCTGTCTGCCCAGCCTGGAGCCCCAGCGAGCGGCCTGGCCAGGACTGCAAGGGACACACCCCGGGGGATCTCACCAAACCTCACAAGCCTCAGTTCCAGCCAGCCAGACGGGGGCTTCTAGCTGGGGGGTCAGTGATACCCAGCACTGCCCAGGGGTCCATCAAGGGTGAGTCGCACCCAACCTCAGTGCGAGGGCTGTCTGTGCCCGATCCCCCCACCCACCCACACACACACACCCCTACTGCGGCCCCTACCTTCCCGGCCAGGCCCGGGTTCTCCTTAGCCTTGGAGGCAGCTCTGAGCAAGCAGGGAGGCACGGGGGGCGGCCAGAGCTGCAGGACCCCGCTGAAGTCCGTGGGGTAGGCGGGGGCGCTCCGGGCAGCAGGGGCCGGCGGCGGGGCTGGCTTCTTGCGCTTGGAGGCCAGGCTGAGCTTCTGGGCGGCCCTGTGGGGAGACGGGTGCTCGGTGCTCCCCCCCCCCCATCCTGCTGCCCTGCCAGGCGGGCCGGGCTGAGCAGTGGGTAGGGGGCAGGGGCACCCTCTTGCCAACGGCCTCCGCCTGCCTCAGTCCACTGCACAACAGCACGAAGGCTGTTTCCCCACCGCCGACCGGCGAGTGTCCCGGGGCCCTAGGAGCTCACGCACGAGAGGCCGAGCAGGGAGAGACGGCGGCCAGAGATGCAGCCCACGGCCCAGGGGAACCCCTGCGACGAGCAGGGGCAGAGACCATAGCGCCCCGGGGAACTGCACCCAGGTGCTCGCCCATGAACACATATGCACACATGTACACACGGACATGCCTGTGCACACAGAGGCAACGCATACACTAAGGCACACTCAGGAACCCACCAAGCACATCCACATCCACACACAGACACACGCACACCCACATCCCCAATCACACCCACACCCACACACATGCACACACCCATACCCCAAACACACACACTCACACCTCCCCACACCCCCAATCACACACATGCACACACCCATACCCCAATCAACACACTCATACACACACGCTCACGCAACCCCACACACCCCCAATCACACACACTCACACCCCCCCACACCCCCCCAATCACACACAGACTCACACCCATACCCCAATCACACACACACTCGCACAGGCACACCCCCACACCCCCAATCACAATACCCACACACACATACACACACACCCCAATCACACACACCCTCACACTCACACACCCACCCACATTCACATGTATACACATGTGCAGTGGTGCACACATGTGTAAATATGCACACTTATACACACATGTATACAAGCACCTGGTCCTCCTGCCGACCATGCTGGGCCTGCTCCCCAGAGCCCCCACCCAGACCAGGCCTGGCCACAGAAGCCAGGCTGGAGCCAGGTGACACAGGCAGGGCTGGGTCTCGTGCCAGGGCCCTCCCCGCTCTCTCGATCCGCCTAATAGAACCTGTCCTTTAGGAGGCCGCGGGGACGCTGCGAGCGGCTCGTGGAAAATCGAAGTCATCTACGGCCTTGCCGGGCCCTGCTCTGCCCCCCACCGGAGACGGCGCGGGAGCCGGGGTCCCTGAGCCCTGCAGAGCCGCCCGGAGCTGGGCTCATAAGGCATCCTGACCCAACCTGAGTCCCTGAGCCAGGCTCCCTAACCTGGGTGCCCTGACCCTCCCAGAGTCGGGGTCCCTGACCCGGGAGCCCTGAGAACCCCCCCGAGCCGGAGCCCCTGGCCACCCAAAGCCACCTGAGTCACCCCAGGAGCCGAGAGGCTCAGTTTGGAGCCTGCAAGCGTGAGCCCAGCTGACCCCCCCCCGAGCCCCCGAACCCTGTCCTCCTGGGACACTGAGGGGCAGTCAGGAGGGACAGCTGCAGTGTCCAGTTCCGACTGGGCAGGGTGGCCCAGGGCTCCTCATTCCCTCTCTGCCCGCCTGACAGACCCTGGGTGCCAGACCCTGCTAGGTGTTGGGTGTGGGGTGACACGGGGAAGACTCTCACCCCACCCAGAGACCCCAGGCTCTCCCACAGCCCCGAGGGACCCAGGACGGAGGACACCCAGAAGGCACAAAAGGACGGCCAAGCCCTGCTCAGCCCCTAGGTCACCCCAGGGGCATCCCCGGGCCCCGTCAGCCCCCGTCACCCCAGGGCAGCCCTGGCCCTCCTGGGCCCCTGCAGCTGCGAAGCACCTCGGACACTGGCAGGGGTCAGCCCCAGGGCACAGAGCCGTGTGTGGGCTCGCTGGGCCTCACCTCCGGCCTGGCCCAGGCCTGACTGGCCTCTGCCCATGGACGTGGGGTACTGGGACGGGGGACGGGGCGGCAGGCCCAGTGAGGGGTGTCTGCCCTGACCTGCACATACCTGATGAAGAAGGACGTGCCGGCCGCAGAGCCCGAGGCGGGGCTGACCAGGGCCGCCGTGCAGGCCCCTCCGCGACCCCACATCTCCGACCCTCGGTCAGCGCGTGCCGTGGGGTCTCGGACCGTGTCCGCCACTGCCACCGCGGCCACCGCCGCCTCCGCCTGCGGGAAGGAGGGCTGTGAGGGCGGCCGGGGCGGGGGCAGGGGCCTGCCTGCGTCTCGGGGGCAGGGGCTGTAGGGCCCCGGGAGGGGACAGGGTACCCGGAGCCTCCCTCCGGGGCGTGGCTCGCCAGCCTGACCGGCCAAGTGGGCTAAGCGTGACGTCCCCTCGCGGAGACACAGCCCCGGCAGTGCCACCCACGCAGCTGAAGTGAACACCAAGCCGGGGACAGCCCCGTGGCGGAGCCACGTGGGACCAGATGCTCCCACCGGCACGGGGCCTGACATCAATGAGCGCGAGATCAGGAGCACCATGGGCAGGGACGCCAGCACCCCGGCCACACCCGGTGCCAGGACAGGGAGCGCTGCCCCTCCCCCAGGCCCTGCGCTCGCCACCGAGCCCCCCGACAGCTGCTTCCGTTAGGGCACGCGCAGCCCTCCTCACGTCTCCAGGGACCCTCAGAGGCCAGGAGGGCCGGCTCCACTGTCCAGTCCTGGTGCTCGACCCCGAGCCCCGGGCCCAGCCTTGTTTGCCGGGACGAGCGCCACACTCGGCCACCCGCCACGGCGAGCCACCCTGGCACCAGCCCCTCGCCCCACCCCCCTGCCCCGGGAGCCTCGGGGGATGCCCACAGCTGCCCGTCGGCCCCACGCACAGGCTCAACGGGAGCCCAGCATGGGACACGCCGCAGGGAAGGCCCCGACCTGAGCACCGGACCACGAGCAGCTCATTCCCCAGGCGGCAGCGAGCCCCGGCACCCGCACCCCAGCCGAGCCCGTCGGGCACCGGGGCCGGCGCCAGGCCCAGGCGGCGGGTCCCGCGGGGGCTGCACTGACCTGCGCCCGGCATCCCGCACACACCTGAGCTCCGCCGTCTCACGGCTGCCAAGACGCGGCTGCGGCCATCGGGACAGCCTCGGCCACCTCCTGCCGCAAGCGGAACCCGGGCATGCCAAGAGCACCGCCTGGAGGGGGGCGGGGGGGAGGGCTGGCGGGGAGACCACGACACGGGGGCAGAGACACGGGGCGGGCGAGCGGGCCGGACACAGAGGGTGACGGAGGAGCCGGAGCAGCGACAGGGGGGAGGCGGAGAGAGAGAGTGAGGCCACCCCCGCCCGCGACCCCCCACGCGCCTGGCGCGGACTGTGTCGCCAGGGCGCACTGAGGGCCACGCCACCGGCGCCGCGGGGTGGGCTGGCTTCAGGCGGGGTGGGGAGGGCCAGGACCGGGGGCGCCCCCACATCACAGGGCGAGGCTCCACCCACCTCACCATCCAGCCACATCCCAGCACCGTAGGGTCCACCAAGGCCCTGTGCCCAGGCTCACGGGGACAGCAGGAGCCAGTCCTACAGGCTGGTGCCATCTCCTCCAGGGAGCCCTCCGTGCTCTCCTCCCAGCACCCAGGACCAGTCAGGAACCCTGAGCCTCCTCTGGGCCCCAGGGACAGGAGACAACCCTCCCTACACTCCACCCTGGCTACCACCTCTGGGTCAAGGGTCGCATCCTCTGCCCCCGGCTGGACACCTCCACGTGGGGGTCAGGGTCATGGCTGCTTCAGGTCTCAGCCTCACTCTAGAACTCGGGGCGGCTGGCTCGTGTCCAGCGCGTCCACAGGCCCCTGAGGGGGTCCGGCACATGCCCACGACCCATGGGCAGCTTCTCTGGTGGCCGGCCGGTGCCCGGAGAAGCCCTGGCCTGAGGTTCTATTCCTGGCTCTGCCCGCCCGGGGCCCAGGGCGGCTCAGGGCACGCCACGGCCTCAGTCCTGCCCACGGGGCCACAGGGGTCACCGGACAGACACGGGCGCGCGAGGGGCAGCCGCCTCTTCAGGCGGGCGGGGTCCTGGCTCTGCCGCCCACACCTGCTCCCCGACTCCCCTCCTCAGGAACGCAACGCCCCAGGGGCCTCGGCTCCTCTCCGCCCACAGCACGGCAGCCCCAGCGGGGGAAGGAGAGGCACCCAGGAGCGGGACACCCCCAGACCCTGACCCACCAGACCCTCACCCAGACCCTCACCCAGACCCTTTCCCAGACCCTCACCCACCCAGACCCTTACCTAGACCCTCACCCAGACCCTCACCCAGCACAGACACAAGCCCACCCAGACCCTGATCCACCGCAGACCGTCACCCACCCCAAAAATACTGATGGCCAGGGTGGCCTCAGAAGAACAAGGCCGGGCGCAGGGATGTGTCTGGGGGCAGTGCAGTCAAGGCGGCACTGCAGCCCTGCGCCCCCTTGGGTCTGGTCCCAGTGGAGTCCCTGTGGCCTGTGGCCGGAGACCCGCAGCTCTTAGGGAGCACAGGCAGAGACCCCCACGGCTGCCAGGACCACCTGGCCTGGTGCCTCCCTCGGCCACCTCCACAGACACAGGGGCCTACAGCACACCTGGGGCCTCGCGCCCGGGGCCTCCCCGCAGGAAGCGCTGTGCCGGCCCCTCCCCCGCGTGTCCCTGCAGTCTCCGCCTGGCCCAGCATCGCCTTCCGCACCCTCAGGCCAGGGCAGAGGAGCCCCTTGGCGGCCCCCAGGCCCCGGGACTGCCATCTGTTCCCCAAACCCACACAGGCCTCGGCCCCACCGCCCACCGCTGCTGACCCTAGCCTGCCGCCCTCCTGTCCCCGCTGGCCCCAGGGGAGTGGGCGCGGGCCCTGCCTGTGGCCCTGCTCGGAGCGGCCGGGCAGAGGCGAAGTCCCTGGGCGGGGGCGGGGCGGGGGCTCTTAGGGGCTGTCGGCACCCGGGCTCAGGACGGGGGCGAGACGCAGACGGGGCCCAGGGGGGTGCTGGCCAGCCCCCGTACTCACCAGGCAGGCCCTGGCTGAGCCGTGCAGGCCCCGCAGGCAGGGGGGCGCCTGGAAGGTGACGGTGCTCAGGGCGCCGCCCAGGCCCGCGGGCACCACCGACACCTGCAGGCTGTGCCCGGGCGGCCAGGCCAGGCCCCGGCTCCACGCGGGCGCGTCGGGCTCCTGGAGCGGGTGCAGGCGTGAGCCGCAGGGCGGGCAGTGCTCGGCGTCCGGGTGGCAGGCAGGTGTCGGCAGGCAGGGCGTCTGCAGGGCAGGGCACAGGGGTCAGTCGGTTCCTGCCCTCACTTGGCTCTGCCACCCCACCCCTGCCCTGTGTGGGGACGAGGGTCTCCTCGGCAGGATAACCGTCTGGGCAGGGCCCATGGAGCCCGCCCTGCAGGGAGGCCTTCCAGGAGGAAGCGGGGAGGACAGCCCCCAGGGCCCACCCCACCTCCTGGCAGTCCCCACCCCGCCGAGCCCCCGTCCCCTGCCACAGGGGCCCACAGGTGTGGGTGGGGACCCCGGGAAGGCTAGGTGGGGCTTTCTCCAGCCTCTGAAGCACACCCCCACGCCTCACCCCTGCAGGAATTCCCCAGCCTGCAGCAGGGGCCTGTGCAGCGGGAGGGGCTGGTGGCAGGAAGCCGGGCCTGAACCCCACCAGGCCACACAGCAGGCAGCAGGGAGGAAGCGGGCCAGCACCGAGACCAGCACCAGGCCCCGGGGCCAGCACCGGGGCCCGCAGACCCTCATCGTGCAGCCCCCAGCCTCTGCCGGGGCTCCGGGCTCCGGGGTTCTGGGCTGGTGCCTCCCAGTTCACAGTCACCCTGTCAGCCCTGTTCTGGTGACCCCAGGGACTGAGATCCTGCCTTCAGTGGCCGACAGGCTGGGGCCTCTCCTGTGTGCTCAGGGGCACCTGGCGACACCAGCGGAGCGTTTTGGTCTGGCCGATGTGGCTGGCACAGCCATCACACGCCTGGGATCTGGGCTGCCCGTGACAAAGGACGGACGGTCCCCTCGCCATCTGCTCCTGCCCTGTGCTAGGCTCTCCAGTCCCGCGAGGTTTCTGCCCCTGGGGGAGCCCACCCGCCTCACGCCAGCCCATTCTGGCCACGGGCGTCCTCTGTCCACGCCTGGACTCGTGCAGGGTCCCTGCGGGCCACGACCTTCGGCCTCACCCTCCTTCCTGCCACCAACACAGGCGCCGAGACTGGCCGAAGTCCTGGCTCCCGGCCATAACGGTCCAGGAAGGCCCCAGGGTGGCCGCACCCCTGCACCAGCTGCTCGCCCGTGTGCAGCCCGGGCCCAGGGAGCCCGTGCCGGGTGCCGCCAGCCACGCGGCCACACACTGGCTCATTCAGGCCATCAATGGTGCCCTGTCCCCCCTGGCGACCCCCTGGCAGGGACCACCCTCTGCCCGGGCAGAGGAAGCCATGCTCAGACCCGGGGCTCAGCCCACGGCAGGATAGTGGGGGCGGCCAGGGACCCTGAGGGCGAGCTCAGACACGCCATGGTCTCCAGAAGCCAGGACAGGGGACCTCGAACACCACAGCCAGGGGCACGGGGCACCCTGCGGACAGCTCGGACCCCTGCTCCTGGGTACCCCAGTGACAAAACACGGTCCAACACCCTCAGCCCATGGCTGGCACAGCCTGGGCTGGCACAGCCTGGACTGTTCCTCAGCCTGGGAACAAGGGGATCAGTCCACGTGCTGTCCACACTTGGGGAAACTGAGGCATACACAGGGTGCGCCTGCAAGACCTGTGTGGGCCGTCAGCTGAGTGGAGACCCGGGGCAGCAGCGTGAGGGTACCACCCTTTCTACCCAGCGCTCCAGGGCGTCCAGGGGTGACCCCACATCCGGCAGTGACCGGGTCCCGGGCTGGAGGGGCTCAGAGGGCTGCAGAGTGTTCAGATGCCGCTGGGTTCCCTAGGGCTGTGTCTGAGGGTCCGGGCACCCGCCCACACGGGCTGGAGGACACCGTGGCCCTTAGCTGCATGCAGCGCCCCCGGTTGGCAGTCCATGGGGTGCCCGCTGCCCCTCCCCGTCTCTCAGCCCACAGCCTCAGCCCTGCTGGAACCCAGAGCGCAGGGACCACCCAGAGAGGAGGGGGGCGGCCCAGGCTCCTGCCCCCGGGCTCCCCAGCACCCCAGAGTCTGGGGAACCTGCAGACGGGGCCTTCCCAGGTGAGTCACTGCCCGCGCAGGTGCAGAGGCCAGGCCGGGGGAACTCGGAGGGTGGTGGGATCCCCTCCCCGGAGGGCCAGGCTAAGGGGCCGGCCAGCGGGCCCGCAGGACTGGTTACGGGGGTCCCAACCCCATGAGGAGGGTCCTGGAACTCAGTGCTGGGTTCGCAGTCAGGGGTCCAGGCCCAGCACCAACCAGGGGCTTGTCAGACCTCAGGGTGAGACTGCGACCTCCAGAAGGATCTTGGGGGGCAGGGGGGCAGCGGGTCAGGCTGTGGTCAGACTGAGGTGAGGTCCCAAGTACCCCCACCCACTCAGACCAGCCTGAGGGAATGAGCCCCAGACTCCGTCTCCCCACCACCACCCCCCCCCCCGCCCCCCAGGGCCCCAAGGACCCTCCTCCCAGAGCCGGGGGGCCACAGAGGTGGTGCCCTCCCCAGCTGGCCTCTGAGGGTGGAGTGGGACCCCACCCAGCCTGGGGGGCATACGCAGGACAGTGCGGGAGGGCAGGCTCGGGACCCCTCCCCCCATAGCACCCCATGTGACAGGGAGGAGCTGGGGGAGGGGCCGGGCGCACACAAAGCCAGGCTGGGTGGCAGGAAGGGTGAGGGTGGGGCAGGGTGTGTGCAGGAAGAGATGGGGAGCACCCCAAGGCGAGAGCCCATGGAGCCGCCCGAGCACCAGGCCCGCTCAGCCGCAGCTCCCCGCCCCCTTCGGCCTCAGTTTCCCCGTGGGAAGGACGCTCCCAGGGCCTCTGCAGACTTTCCCCAGACCAAGCCCTTGAGGCCGGCTGTCACCCTAAGGCCACGGAGGGGGCTGGCAGTGCCCACGTCCTGCCCACCCACCGCACTGCACAGTCCTGCTGGGGCCGGGGACACTCGGTCAGGCCGGCCCTGTTGGCCGGCCCAGTCCCCACTTCCAGGCGCATTGTTCCCGGGAACAATGGTCCGGCTCCTCCCAGCCCCGGCTAGAGGGGCGCCCTGCCTGTCTGGGGGGCTCTGCGCCAGGAGGCGCCCCCACGCCCCTTCCAGACCCCAAGCGAGGCCCCGGGGCTGGCCACGGCCGGGGAACGGCTCCTGACGGCCCTGTCCTCCCCTGTCCTCCTGCGGGGGCTGCCCCGTCGGCCCACTCTCCTGTCCTCGGCCAGGGGACGGGGGCGGGCTGACCCAACGCCCAGTGCGACCAGGGAAACTGAGGCCCAGGAAGGGAGCCGGGCCGCTCGGCAGCGCCCTGGACGCCGCCCCCCTCGCTCCCGCCGCGGCCCCCGCCAGCCCGAGCCACTTACCCGGAGGGGCGTCCCGGGCGCGCTGACCAGCCTCCACGCCTGGCGCTTGAGCTCGCCCAGCTTCGCGTGGCAGTGGCGGCACCAGCCCCCGCCGCCGGCCGCGTGGGCCTCCCCGGCCGCCTCCCCGGCCCCCTCGGGCGCGGGGCGGCTCCCGCGCGGGGCGGGCTCGGGCCGGGCCGGCGGCCTGTTGCGCGGTGACAGCTCCCGGGCCCCCTCGGCCACCTGCAGGGGTGCGAGCGGAGGGGCGTGAGTCGCGCCCCGCACCCCCGGCGCCCACTCCGCATCTCGGCGCGCCCCGGCCGCTCAACAAAGTTACGGGCGCGGGGCGCGGAGGAGCCCCCCGCGTCGCCTCGGGCCGGGGGTCCGGCGGGCGCCCCCGGGAGCATCCCCGCCCGCCGCCCGCCGCCCGCCGGCCCCCGCGCGTACCGAGGGTGGCGCCGCGCACGGGGAGCCCCCGCGGCTGCCCATGACGGGGCGTCCGGCGCGCCCGCGGGATCCGGCCCGGCGCCCCCCGGCCGGCCGCTCCGAAGTTGGCGCGCGCGTGCGGGGCGGGACTCGGGGAGCACGTCCCCGAGGGGCGGGGGCGACCCCAACCTGGGAGGCGAGTCCCCGCCCCGGGGCCACGCGCGCGCATGCGCCCGCCGCGCCTCCGGGACCCAGACCCCCTCGACGCGCGGGGAAAGTGCGGGCGCGGGACGGGCGGGGGGCGCGCAGCCCACGGGGTCCGCGAGCCGCGCGCGCCTGCGCACGAGCCGGCGCGCGGGGGGCCGCGGGGCGCGACCTGTTGTCGGCCGGCCCGGCAGATGGGAACTCGGCTCGGGAATTAATTGCCTGTTTGTCGCCGGCTGGGAGGTCGCCCCCTCCTCCGGCGACCAGTTGCTCCCGCGCGCGCCGGCTCCGCACACCCCGGCCCGGCCGCTCCCCGCGCCGCTCCCCGACTCCCCGGGACGCGCGCGCCCCCTGCTGGCCGCCGCCGCCCGCCGCCCCGCGGCCCGAGCGCCACCCGGGCAGGGTCTACCCGCGGCTCCCCGCGCCCGCTCGTCCCCCGGCCCCTGGGCTCCTCTCCGCGACCCTCCTGCGCCCCCCACTCCCCGCCGCGCCGCGCCTCCCTCGGAGGGGCGCGCTCTCGGCTCCCTGCGGCGGGATAAAGTGGGCCGGGGGCCGCGCGCCCCGGGACCACCCCGCCACCCCTCCGTACGGAGCGCGGAGCCCGTCCCCTGTCAGGTCTCGGAGCATCCTCTGAAAGGAAAAGGGGCGTCGGCCCCGGGGGGCCCGGGGGCCCCGAGACAATACCGCGCCGTGCCCCCCACGCCCCCTGCCCCCCAGCCCCCACGCCCGCCACTGCCGGTGCCACGCACGCCCCGAGGCGCGGCCCTGCCCTGCACACTCCCCGCGGGCGCCCCCAGGAGCACCGACTTCGGACTCCGGGTCCCCCGCGCCGGCCGGCCACACCCGCAACTTGGGCTCCGGCCGGGGGACCCGGAGTCCGGGACCCGCGATCGCCCCGACCCCCGCCCCGGCCCCGGGCGCGGCGCGAAGGCGCGGGAAGCGGGCGGCGCAAGTGCGCCAAGTGGCGCCCGGCCGGCGGGACGGGTCCCCGCGCTACCTTGGCTCGCCGCCGCAGGAGGTGGCTGGTGAAGCCCAGGATGATGTCCGAGTCCAGGCAGAGCGCCCCCATCTCCAGCAGGCTGGGCGCCTTGCGGGGCGCGCCGCGGGCGGCCTCGGGCGGCCCGGGCAGCGCCATGGACAGCGCGGGGCGCGGCCCCAGCTCCGGCGCCGCCGCCCGGCCCGCGCGCTCCCCGGCCGCGCGCCCGCCGCGCCCCGCACCGGGCCGCTCCCGCCCAGCCCGGCCCCGCCGCCCGCGCGCGCTCCGCCCGCCGGCCCGCGCCGACAGCGCCCCTGCAGCCCCGGCGGCGAGCCGGAGCCCCCAGCGCCCGCGCGGCTGGCGGGGGCGCCCCGAAACCCCCGCGGGCCGAGGCGCGGGGCGGCGTTGCCCGCCGCGTCCTACACGCGGTCCCCGGAACTCTGCGCTTGGGACCGCGGTCGGCCTCGGACCTCAGGGTCCCTGCCAGGGGGTCCTGAGTCCCCCTGTCCCGGGGCCTCACCCATGCACCCCCAAGTCCTCGGGGCGCCGGCCGGGTCACTCCGTCTTTGTCCCGGGCTGGAACCCCTATGGGCAGGAGAGGTAAGAGCGGACCCCCGTTTCCCACCGCGCCCCCTCCCCCTGCTCTGGCCTGTGCGGGAGGGGGCTCTGCCGTTACCAAGGGCTGTCGAACTGGGCGCTGGGGGCACTGCCCCGACTGAAGGCTGGGGGTGGGGGACTGAGCCTGCCTGCAGGTCTGGGGGCTGCCATGGCTCTGCTCTGGGGCCCCCCAGGGGTCACAGCCACCACCTAAAGCGTCACCTTAGAGCCTAGGCAGGGGTGCAGCCACCAGCCTAGGGCAGAACCCCTGAGGCCATGCTGCCTCCCCCACCACCACCACCGGGGCTCCCCCTCCCCCCCTCGTGCCGCCCCTCCCCCCGCCGGCGGGCTGATGAGACATCATGGTTTTTAACATTTAATTTACAGGCGGCCACTGCCGGCGGAGCGTCCCCAGGGAAATCTAAGCCAAGGAGCGCCCGGCCCACCAGATTCCCGGGCTCGGCCTCCGCTTCACTCGACAGGCCATCCTGCAGGAGGCAGAGCGCACCCCACAGGGCACCCACACGTGGGCAGCCAGTCTGGCACTGCCATGGGGGCCCAGACCAGTCGGGCCAGGGTCGTGGTGCCGAGGTTGGCGCACAGGCCCTGCCCGCTGTGTGGGAGGGCAGCGCCCAGGGACCCGAAGTCCTGTGCACTTTCCCCCGTGGGATTTCCCTGCGGGAGGTGATGGCGGGGTTGGGCCATACCCAGCTCCACACTCCGCCCGGTGCTTGGGGTCCACGTGGCCCCCACAGCCGCAGCACCACCAGGAAAGCCCCCTGGGGCACCCGCTCAGGTGCCCCCTTGGCTTCCATGCCCCCCGCCCGCCCCCCAGAGCTGGGCCATGCCGGGGAAGGTGACTCACCAGAGGCCCCCCAGGAGGGGGTGCTGCTCAGTGGGGGGCCCTTGTCCGGGCCTGGCCAACGGGGGTGCTGACCCCTTCCCTGCCCCTCCCCCCTAGGCTGCAGGCTCTGGTCCTCCCGCTAATTCCTTTGCTTGCCCATGACCAGAGCCCCCAGCACCTTCCCCAGCAGTGGGTGCTGAAGGAAGGTGGACAGAGGGCAGGGGCCACTCAGGCCTGACCCCCAGCCCCACGAGCCCATGGGGCAGACAGCAGAGCCACGACTCTGGGGAGCTGGTCTCCTGCACCCCAAACCGGCCAAGGGGTAGCTCAGCGAGGGCCACTGTCACTTAAGGCCAGCAGGTGGCGCCATGGTCACAGTCTCCGCCACCTGTCGCCTGGCTGGGTTTGTGTTTTTGCAGACCAAAACCGACAGAGGCCTTTTGGGAGCACCACTCTCCATGCTCCACGGGGGAAGGGGCTCCAGAGTGCCCCCCTACACCTCACAGCCAACTTGCAGCATGGTGCCGTTCCCCTAAAGTGGGGGAGGGGGCAGAGAGATGGAGGCAGGGGCTGCTGTGTCCCCGAGGCGGGCTGCCACCTGAAGAGGGATGCCCATCACTGCGGGGCAACTCAGGGGGCCCCCCCCAACACGACCCTCAGGAGGAAGGTCCCCTCCCCTCAGAAGGAGCTGCCTCCCCCTCCTGCCCTCGGATACACCCCCCCCCTTCCCCCCCGGCAGCCCTCCTGCCCACTCCCAGTCCCTTCTGGGGACTGAAGCACAGAATACACTTCAGGGCTGTCCCCTGGGGGACTCCAGAGGAACTGGGCAGACTGAGGTCAGGAGGCGGAATTCCTGGCTGGGGAGGGTCATCTGTGAGATGGACCCGCAGGGTTCAGGCGGGGACCCAAGCCCTGCCGGGTTATTAGGGCGCTGACACAGTCGCACCCACACTTCACATAAAACAGTCAAAAGCCCAGGGCACCAAGCATCACCCGAGTAGCTCCGGGCCCCCAGTACCATTTGGGAGTTACCCCCAAATAAATAAAAAATGACCAGTGGTTAATTTTATGTTACACATGTGTCCCCATATGCAATTATCTTCAGCGTGCTCAGTGAGAGAGAACAGTGTCTGCTGTAGACAGCCTCCCTAAACTGGTAGGACATTGGTGGCGGGGACTGTGCAGGGGTGAAGGGATGAGTGATTCTGAACAACTCGGTAATATGTGTCTCACGGTGATGATTCTGTTTAAAAAGGAAAACAAAGCCTGCTCGGATGTGTGGGAGGAAGCCAGGGACCAGCCCCCTAGCAAGCATTTGGCCGTGGGTTTGTCCCAGGGCCCCCTGGGTGCTGAGCGCGTGAACAGGACCCGGAGGGAATAAAATGCGGCTGTGTGAGGGCTGACCAGAACTGTGGGTGCTCCCCAGAAGGACGCGCCCGCCAATCCTGAGGCCAGGAGAGCACCCTGAAGACCAACCAACCCCCACAGGCTAGGAGATCCCATGGACACAGCTCACATGCGGGAGCACCAGCTCTGAGCCCCGGGCCCGCGGACCTCCTCAAAGCAGTGGGCCTCACAGGACAGACTGCCCTCCCCACTGACCTTCCAGGGCTGACTGACCCCAGCACAGAGCCGGGCAGCCCACCCTTCCCTGTGCACTCCCAGGACTAGCCCTGAAGCAAACAAAGGACTCCCCACCCTCGCTGGACCGCATGGGTGGACGCTGCCCCTCTTGATCTGATTTTTCACCGTTTGACTGAGGTGCCGATTGGCTGCAGCCCCTTTCACAGTCGGGGTCGCTGCCCCCAGGGCACTCTCGGGGAGACCGAAGGTGGCACCCACCAGCGCCTGGAGACAGAAGCATCTGACACTGATCACGAGTAAGCGAATCCCTCAAACACTGAAAAACTCCTTGTGACCTCAGAGGCCTGAGCTGGGGGGGAGGGGGCAGAGGCTCCCCCGCCCCCCGTGGCAGCACAGCTTGGCATGGTCCACATCCCCCTTCTGAGGATGAGAGAGGGAAACGCCAGTCAGGAGACAGAACCCCTAGCCGGGCACTCTGGGATGGGGCTGGCCCTAACACGCTGCGCCCCAGCCAGCGGCCAAGGGTCAGGGCACTCTGCAGCCTCCTGGCAGATGTGGGGCAGCCCGAGCTGCCCACCGTGTCTCTGGGTTTCGCCTTTCTCCGACTCGGGGCCCACATGTACCATTTGTCACTTCCTGTTACCTGCCAGAGGGTCGCTGCACACCATGTTGCGGTCAGCAGCCGCCACTGCCTCTTTTTCTCCACGTGTTTTGTGCTTTCTGGCCCAATGTCTAAGTCCTTCAGCCTCTTTGACTGAGCTTCTGTGTATGGTGTGAGATACAGGTCACATTAATTTTCCCTCTTTTCTGAGTGTCGCGTGATTATCCATTTCCCAAAGTCGTTCGTGGAGAGGCTGTCCTCACAGACGGCAGCCAGAGACGGATTCTCGCCCGTGGCTCGCGGCCTGTCCCGGAGGCACCTCGCTGGAGGTAAGGAACGATGCTGCCCCACGTCTTTTTCCCAGAGCGACTCTGACTAGGCTGAGTTTTATGGCTTCGTGTAAACTTTATTACTGTTCACTCTAAGTCCTTGACGAGAAGCGGAGGGCGTTCAGCAGGGACTGCAGGACCCGGGCACGGAATCCCCCACATCCTCACGCCCCTTCTAGCTCCTGCACAGCGACCCTCAGCTCCCATGCTATAGAGCTTTCATGTCTTTTGTTAGGTTGATTCTCAGGTACTGGAATGGGGGGCTCTATTCTAAATGGGGTGGTCTTTTTAATGTCTCTCTTCTCACTCATTAACTGCATATAGACATCCATCAGGTTTGGGCCCCCCTCCCCCTCACCCGGGGTGCCAGCGCTTTCTTCTGCCTCAGGGCCCAGGGGTCCCCCCGGAGGTGCCCGGTGGGCCACATGCTGGGCTGGGGGTCACACTGGCCCCCTCACATGAAGGCAAATCTCCCCGGCTCCAAACCATGCATCGATTGACTTTCATGCATTAATGTTGGTGCCTGCTACTTTACTGCTCTGTTTATTGTAGCATGTTACAGCAAATGGTTTTTCTAATGGATACTTTAGGGTCTACTATGTATACTGTCATCATCTGCAAGTATGAGGCAACTTCTTTTCCAAACTGGATCCCTCAGGCTTCTTTTTCTTGCCTAATATCTGTAGCAGGGCTCCAGGGTGTTAGGACTAGTTACAGAAACAAGAGCTGTGGAACCAGCTGCAAGGGTGGGGAGAGCGGGGCTGGGGACAAGGCAGGGGCGTGCAGAGACCCTGCAGGGCAGGGGCGCACAGCAGAGCTGTAGGTCAACAGCACCAGAAGCACACTAGCTACAATAAGAAAAGTAAATTCAAAAAAATCTGCATGTGGGGCTGGAGCGATAACACAGCGGGTAGGGTGTTTGCCTTGCACACAGCCAACCCGGGTTCGATCCCCAGCATCCCATAGGGTCCCCTGAGCACCGCCAGGAGTAATTCCTGAGTGCAGAGCCAGGAGGAACCCCTGTGCATCGCCGGGTGTGACCCCAAAAAAAATCTGCATATGCTTGCTAAGGAGTTGAGTGGCGGTGAACCGGGAGAGCCTGAAACATTCATTGAAAGCTTTGGAAAGCGCTGACTAGATTTCATTGTTTGTTAATTTATTTATTTATTGCTTTATTGGGTCACACCCAGTGATGGAAAGGGGTTACCCCTGGCTCTGCACTCAGGATTTACTCCTGGCAGTGCTCGGGGAACCATGTGGAATACTGAGGATCGAACTCGGGTTGGCCACGAGCAAGGCAAACACCCTCCCCGCTGTACTATCGCTCCTGCCCTAGATTTTAATAAATAAGGGTTTTTTTTTCTAACATAGGAGTACGGTTAATTATTCAGCCATTTATTAAGCTGATTGAATTCGGCGTGAACTCCACATTACTTATTTTTTTAATTTTTTAATTGGATATCCGTGACATAGACCATTACAAAGCCGTTCATTATTGGGTTTCGGTCATACAATGATCCAGCACCCACCCCTCCACCATTGTAATTTCCCACCACAATGTCCCGTTTCCCTCCCCCCTCCCCTCACCCTTAGTCTCCCTCTATGGGAGGCACTTTTTTTCTTGTTCGCTCTCTCTCCTTTTAAAATAAGGGACTTTTAAAGAAAAGCTACGGAGACCCCGCGACAAGGACAAGCTCCGGGGTGTGTGGGTGCGGGCGGCCCCGCCTGTGCTCCCCAAGGCCTGACCAGACCTGAGGCCCACGAGCTCCCCTGCAACCTGCGCGTGGCCCTGAGTCATCCTCCTGTCCCAGAGGGTGGGGGTGGGCGCCCGGGAATGCGGGCTCAAACAGGGCCTCCGAGGTGCCCCCGCTGGTCCCAGCCACAGCCTCTGAGTGGGGCCTGGCCCAGTCTGGACCCAGAGTCGCTGGCTCTGTCCTTTTCCAGGGTCTCCTCTCAGCACCTGGGACCCGCAGCTTGGACTCCCCAGCTCAGCTCACTGTGGTGAGTCAGTGGCCCCGGAGCTGGCCAGGCCAGACCTGGGTTTGTGCCTCTCGGAGCGGTGACGGGCTTCCCAGGGGTCCTGGAACCAGCCTGGGGTGACGGGACCTGTCCAGCTGGCCAGGAGGGCAGGACCAAACACCAGACTTGCCAGGGATGCTCCTTAGTGCTCCAGTGTCCTCTGCCTGAAGGCGCCTGCAATCCTGCAGTGACCGGCTCACTAGGGAGGGGACAGGCGGCAGCGACAGCAGTGCCTGCCCGTGGGTCCCAGGGCTGCTGTTAGGGGCAGGGGGACGTTTGTGGGGTCAAAGCCCTGGAGATTTTGGGGTCCTCGTGTGCAGGGAACCAGGTGCTGAGCGGCTGCCCGGTGGCCGGCTCATGAGGGAACACCCAGGAAACTTCTAGCTCCAAGCTCCCTGCAGCACCTGAACCCAACAAAAGTCACCCCACCCCTCTCTGCCGAGAAACGGCACCATGTGGACCACCTGAGGGGACCAGGGACTTGGCCACCAGTTTAGAGGTGACCTGTTTTTAAGGCAGTGCGGGCGTGGCCAGGGCCACTCCCGGCAGAGCTGGGCCTAGAATTCAGAGCCCCGTGGGTGCTGTGGCGTGGGGGGTGCCAGCCCTTCCCCCAGAGGGCCGAGGCCCAGGCTTTCGGGTGGCCCTTTCTGGCTAGAGGGCAGTGCACACGGGCCAGGCCTACTGGGGGCTCTGCGGAGTGGCCCACGACATACTCAGGCTTCAGGATGTACATTTATTGTCACATGTCCCTGGGCGATAACAGACTCAAATCTCAGACCCCAGAAACCAGCAGGGAAGCACCTGAGAGTGTTCCTGGGAGAACTTTCAGGAAACCCTCTGAGCCACCGCGGCTGCCCAGCACTGACCAGCTCTGCTGGGCCCTGAGTCCCACAGCGGTCAAGGCAACTTCCTCAGGTCCCGGCCACCAGTACTGGGCGACCCCGAGGTGCAGATGGGCCTGCAGCTCCCTCGAACCTCCGGGCGGGCGGAGCCTGCGGGCGTCCCGGACCGCTCCCTTGCCAGCTCCCGAGGGACACTCTGGCCGGGCGGGGCCGTCACGCTCCTCCCCGCGGCTCCCTCCAGGCTCCTTCGCGCCACTGGAGCCCGCACCTGGCGCGCTGGGTCGCCCCCACACCCCCACGCGAACCCCGACGCCGCAAGCCCAGGGCCCGACGGAAGCGGCGCGCCCGAGTGTGTCCCGGCCCCGCGGCCGCGCCCCGCGCCTGGATCCCCGCAGCCCGACCTGGCACCTGGCACCTGGACTCCCCGCGTCCCGACCTGGATCCCCGCGGCCCGCACCTGGATCCCCGCGGCCCACGGCCCGCGTCCCGCACCTTGGCCCCCGCCGCCCACCTGGCACCTGGATCCCCGCGGCCCGACCTGGCACCTGGATCCCCGAGGCCCGCGCTTTGACCTCCGCGACCCGCGCCCCCCGACCTCGGCGCCCGCCTCCCGCCCCGCGCCCCCCGCCCCGCGCCGCGCCGCGCCCTCGTTCCGCGCCCTCGTTCCGCGCCCTCGTTCCGCGCCCTCGTTCCGCGCCCTCGTTCCGCGCCGCGCCGTCTCAGCTCCCGGGGTCGGGCCGCGCCGGTGGACGCCGTGGTGGCCGCGTGGCCCGCCGAGCGGGCGCGCCGGGTCTAGTGGTCCTAAACATTTCACAATTGCGCTACAGACTGTTGAACTGTCAAGAACCACTGCACCCGGCGCGCGAGCGTCCGAACCGCCTGCCGGCCCCGGCCCGCGCGCCGCCTTTTAAGCGGGCGGCCGCCCCCGCCCCGGAATGCGCCGCGCTCGCTCGCCAGACCGGTCGGGCCGGGCCGGGCGGCTCCGGGCCCGCGGGTCCGCGGCGGGTCGTCCTCGGCCGGTACCGGCCCGCGCGGGGGTGGCCCTGACTCACCGCCCCGCCCGGCGCCCCCGGCCCCGCGCCCCGCCCCGCGCACCTGGCGGCCGGGTCCGCGCGCGGCGGGGGTCGGGGCGCCGGGGGGCGGCGGCGGGGCGGGGCGGGGGGCGGTGGGGGCCCGGCCGCTCCGGCGTCGGCGGGAACCGGGTGGGAGGGGAGCTCGGACGAAGAGAAAGTGAAACTGGCGCCCCGGGGCCGCCCTCGGCCCGGCCCGGACGGGGATGGGGGACCAGGCCCCGCCTCCGGGCGCCGCGCGGGGTCCCGGGTCCCGGACTGAGCCCCATGAGGGCCCCCGGCACAGACACCTGGGGGGCTTAGGGCGAGGACTGGGGGGCGCGCCCCCGGCATGCGGGGACTCCCGGGGTCAGCCCCAAGGCCCCACCAAAGACCACGGTGCTAAGGGCCACGATCCCCGCGGGCCTGTCCTGGGTGTTTCTGCTGGGAGACGGGCCCTGGGTGGGCCTCAGGGACCCCGAGGCCGCTAACCTGTCCCCAACACACGGATTAGTCCTCAGCTGCTGAGACCTGCTGGCCGCTGCTGGGGGCGGGGCAGGGGGCAGCCCTGGGCTTCCCCCTGGGCCCAGCAGGAGGGAGTCCCCCTGCCCCTGGTGACCCAGTTGGGAAGAGCTGTCCTTGGCACTAGGTGACAGTGGGCCACTGTGTGGGCCGCTGGCCGTGAGCCATGTGGGTCCAAGGGCCCAGCAGGGACATGGGGCCCTCGGCAGGGGGCTTCTGCCCCCGCGCCCCGCTGCTGGGGCCCTCCGGAGGGTGTGGGGCAGAGGCCCCGCGGCCTGCCAGGCCTGGTTGTGCAAGGCGGGCACACCCGTGTCTGGGAGAGAATCTGGCCCGTGGCCAGCAGAGGTGCCAGCCTGGGCCTGGGAACCAGGCTGAGGCGCCCGGGGGTGCGGGTGGGGCCACCTGGGAGAGGCCAGGAGCAGAGTGGGGCATCTGCCCCCGGCACTGGGCAGACGGGGCCGGGGCGCCCGGGCGGGTTGGGGGGGACCAGCAGGGGCCACCATGAAGATGGTCGCTGCCGTGGGAGGCCCAAGCCTCGGCCTCCACCCATGCAGCTGGAGGACCCCGGGGGCCACACTCGCCATCCACATGTAGGAGCCCCCATGGAGCGCATCCCTAGGGGCAGCAGGGCCCGCCTCTCCAGGAGGGGGCCAGAATCAGGCCAGACAGAACCGCACTAGGCCCAGGAGGGACCTGAGGACTTCCAGCAGGGGGTGGGATGGGGGGCTGCCTGGAGGAGGGGTCCTGAAGAGCGAGGATTCAGGAGACGGGGCCCAGCCCTCGTTACACACTCTCACACGTGCTCACACACTCACTCTCACATTCACACACGCTGTGTCACATTCACACTCCACTCACACACACACACGTTCACACACACTGTCACATTCACACTCACACACTCACTCTCACTCTCACACTCACACACACTGTGTCACGTTCACACTCCACTCACACACTCACATTCACACTCACATTCACACACTCTCACGTTCACACACGCTCTGCCACACTCACACAGACTCACACTCACACTCTCACGTTCACACACGCTCTGTCACACTCACATTCACACACTCCGGCTCTCCCGCGGGTCCAGGGCCAGTGGTGGGTCGTGTGCCCCTGGACCCGAGGACGCTGCCCTTTGACCCAGAGCCTGGGGCGCGACTCCCACACACCCCCCCAGCGCGGGGCCCAGACAGACCCGCTGGAGCCAGGCTGCGGGGACCCGGGAGGGAGTGGCCCGGAGACTTTATTGCAGTGATGCCCACGGAGCCTGCGGGCTGGCCGGAAGACGCTGCCCGGCTGGAGCTCGCAGGCCCCGACACGCCAGGGCTGACGCTGCAGCAGGTCCGCGTCGGGCGAGACTCGGAGCAGCACTTCCTGGGCATGTGGGGGCGGCCGGCCTCCGGGGGCCTCCCAGAGCCCGGTCGCAGGGAGCCGGAGGAACTCCGGGGCGACGACGACGGGGCGACTACTGTGTGGTCAGTCACGGGGGGCCTAACAGGACAGCGTGCAGACTCGGCTGCCCTTCCTGCGGGAAGCCCTCCCTGACTGCTCCCTCGACCTCCCCATCCCACTTGGAGCTCAGCCACAGCCAGGCCGGCCCTGGACACAGCCCCCACCCAGTGGCCTGGCCAGGGCTTAGGCAGGACTTACCGGCCCCCGTGCGCCCAGCAGGCGCTGTAGGAAGGAGACCACCTCCCGGTTCCCAGATGCCTCCGCCTGGGGGCAGAAGCACGAGGGGCATGAGTCCAGCCTGGCCCTGACCCGAGCACCCCACCTCGGGACACCCACTTTCTCCTCTGGGACACCCACTTTCTCCTCTGCTCCTGGGGCAGAGCGGGGAGCCTCAGGGGCCCCCGGGGGCATCCAGGACACTCACAACATCCAGAGCGCTGCGTCCATCATAGCCCGGCAGGCCCAGGTCAGCTCCCGCCTGCCACCACGCCTGCAGGCCTTCCTGGTCTGCCCTGGACGCCAGCCTAGGGGAGTCACACGGGTGGCTGGGCTCGACCCCACCCTGTCCAGCAAGGCCACCCCAAGCAGCTGCGCCAGCAGGGACCGCTGGGGCCAGTGGGGGTCGGCGGGGGCCACTGGGGGCCACTGGGGCTGGGGGACAGGAGGGGCCAGGCAAGGCTTTACCCATGGGGTGACCCACACACACATGCATACACAGAGCGGCATGTGTGCACCCCCACATGCACACACGGCTTCGCTGCTGCCTCTCTGGGGAGCTTCTCCCCTGACCCGGGGTAGGTCATCCCCCGCGGCCCCCTCCCCTGAAGCACTCGCCAGCCCAGTGCTCCCAGGGGTCCTGACTGTCAAGCACCAGTGTCCCTCAGGCCTCACCTGCACAGCTCAGGCCTCACCTGCACAATTCAGTGCCCATGTCCTCTAGCTCCTGGGGGGACAGGCAGGCCCCTGCGGCCCTCAGCAGGCCAATGACCCCCCGATGCCTGCAAGAGAGAGCACGCCAGACCCGCTGCTCTGCGCAGGCACAGCCGAGGGGGACCCCCATACCCAGCCCACATGGCTCCCTCTGACCTGGACACTGGACCCTGCAGACCACCCCTGACATGGCCGCCCACCTCTTGGCACACCCACCCAACAAGGTGTGGGCTAGGGAAACTGAGGCAATGGGCCCAGATCAGATACGGCTGCAATCAGGAACTGAGATTTCAGGATGCCAGGCTGGCACCAGAGAAGGTTCCAGAAGGGCCTGGCCTGCCAAGTGTGAGAGGCAGGTGTCCCGGGGCGGGAGGGAGGGGATGGTGCCACCTCAGGCAGGTTCCCACAGGGGCGGGCCGGGGCGGTGGGCGTCTCCAGCAGCGAGACCGGTCGGTCGGGCTGGGGTGCAAGCTGGAAAGGGGGGCGGGTCCCGGTGAGCTCATCCAGCCCCCACCCACGCCCAGGACAGGGGCCCTGGGGCCATCAGAGCGAAGGGGGGATGGTGCCCCCTACTCTGCACCCGGGTGCCACCCACGGGGAAGGGGGCCCAGGGCTGTGTCAGCTGCCCCACGGCCGCTGGAGCCCCCGCCCCCCGCTGCAGTCCTGGCGAGGTCAGCAGGGGCGAGATGCCGCGGAAGCTGGACTGCAAGTCCTGTGTCCCCTGCCTGGGGCCCAGCATGAAGGGGCCAATGGGGCAGGGACACGGCCTCCAGGGGCTCCCTGGACAGTGAAGAGGCTCCCCAAGGCCCAGCTGCCCCAAGCTAGATGGTCCACAGGGGCCCGTCAGGCCATGACCAGCGTGGTACCTGCCCCGTGCGGCCAGCTGCAGCGGGCTGAGGCCACCGTCGGCGCGGGCGTTGGCGTCCGCCCCCCTCCGCAGCAGCAGTGACACCACGCCGGCATGGCCACCTCGAGCAGCCGCATGCAAGGGCGTCCAGCCATCCACGGTCCCCAGGCTCAGGTCGCCGCCCTGGGGTGAAGCGGGCGCCCGTCACTGCCTAGCGGGGGGCGGGGGGGGGGAGGTTCCCCACCACGAGGCCCCCCGGGGATGGGGAGGCGCTCACCAGCTCAGCCAGGGCCTGCAGCGCCTCCAGGTCGCCCGCGTGGGCTGCGGCACAGGCCAGGCTGGGCATCAGTGCATCCCGGACAGCGGTGGCCTCCTGGGGGCAGTGGCCAGGCCTCGTGTCCTGAGGCGACGGGAGCCCCGCACCCCGGGAAAAGCCCGCTGGGCTCCCCCTCCCAGGACACACGCCCACGTCCGCCTCTCCTGCGGGGACCCCGCTCCGGGCCATCTCTGCGTGGGGAGTCACACAAAACTCCGCCGGACGGCAGGGGCCAGGCCCGCAGGAAGCAGGTCAGGCGCCCCAGGCTGGGGAGCTGTGCATGGGGTCACCAGCCCCGCCCAGGCTGGCCACAGACGCCACAGGGGCCCGCGTCCCGCGTGCTGGGGCCTCCGAGGCGCCTAATGACAGAGCACACACACCTTTCATCTGACCGGCCCGCGGGGGAAACTGAGGCGCGGCACCCAGTCACCAGGGCCCGGAGCAGCCTCACTGCGCCCCAACCCGTGCACACGGGGTCAGCGGGCTCTGCCCCACCCCCGCTCCTGTGCCCACTGTACCTGGCTGAGGCCAAGGAGGTGGGCGAGCCCTAGGCGCAGGGGGCCGCCTTGCAGAGACGGCCGGTGCTCGGCCTCAGAGGGCCGGGTCATCTCCCCCCGCAGGTCCCGGGCCAGCAGCTAAGGATGGCACAGGGGGGCTGGGTGGGCGTCCAGTGCCCGCTCCGTGTCCCTCTCCCAGCCCAGGCTCGCACCCTCAGACCCGGGCCTCTCTGCCTGCTTCACAGTCGATGCAAGGCCGCTGGGCCCCCAAGCCCTGCCCACAGCCAGCATGTACCCACAGAAGGACATGCCCACGGCCAGGACATGCCCAAGGCCAGGAGATGCCCACGGCCAGGACATGCTCACGGCCAGGATGTGCCCATGGTCAGGTCAGGACATGCCCACAACCAGGTCATACCCATAGGACATGCCGGGGTCAGGTCAGGACATGCCTGTGGTCAAGACATGCCGAGGGTCAGGACATACCCCAGCCAGGACATGCTGAGGGTCCGGACTTGCCCTGGCCAAGCCCTACCTCTTTCTTGCCCTGCAGGCTCAGCCCGGGCCTGCCCAGCACATAGGACAGCTTGGCCAGGGCCGCCTCCGAGGTCATGTCGAAGCCAGAGACGATGCCGGCCCCCGCCATGGCCTGCAGGGAGGAGCGGGAGGGGCGTGGCAGGGTCAGTGCAGGGTGGGGGCGGGGGACGCGGTTGGGACGCGGGGTTGGCGTGGCAGCACACGGGGTCAACACAGGCAGGGCGCGGGCGGAAGGCCGAGCGGGGTGGGTGTGGGAAGACTGGACTCGGGGTGGGTGCGGCGGGTCGGGGGTCTGGGTTGGGGGAGGTGCGGGCGGGATGTGGGTCGGTGCGGGAGGGCGGGCGCGGGGGTCGAGGGCGGGACGCGCGCCCACCTTCCCGGCCGCGTAGTCGGTGGTGACGGAGCCCTGCAGGCAGTGCGTGCAGTTCAGCAGGACCAGGCCGCGCTCGGCCGCCGCGCGCAGCTCCTGGACCAGGTCGGCCTTGGTGGGCCCGTTGCCGGCGCCGAAGGTCTCCATGACCACGCCCTTGAGTGGGGGCTGCAGGAAGGCGCGCACCTGCGGGCGGGCAGAGGGTCAGCTCCGGCCCCTGCCCGCCCCCACTCTGCTCCGTCAGGCCTGCGCCCCTTCAGAGGTCAAAGCTGAGTGCAGGCCTGTCCTGGGAGGGGCCAGACCCGGCGGGCCCGCCTGCAGCTACACCTCACGGCTGCCAAAGTCGCCCACCACTGCCAGACCCACTCGGTGCCGGCCCTGGAGGTCGCAGACACCACCCTCAGGGGCCACTGCCCCCAGCAGCACTCGGGAGTCCTCTGGGAAGGTGACGGGACACGGGACGATGGGGTGGGCCCTGCCAGGGCAGGGTACAGGGTACCGGTACAGGCACAGGCCTACCAGGGCGGGGGTCCCGGGATACGGGGTACAGGCACAGGCCTACCAGGGCGGCGGGAATCCCAGGGTACAAGCGCAGCAGCCCCACGTCACGCTCCATGTCGCTGTGCACCACCAGGGGGTCCTTCCCGTGCACCCTCCGAACCAGCTCGTGGTTAACTGTGAGGACGGAGGGGCTGGGGTCAGCAGGGGTCTCAGCACTCCCGGGCGGTGGGAATTACACTAGGCTGGGTGGGCTGGGGGCTGGGGCCAGAGGGGGAGGAAGGGGCCGTGGGTGGTCGGAGGGGGACAGTGTCGGAATCCTGCCTTGGAGCGCCCCGGCGCTGGGCAAGGTGCTCACAGTCCTGCTGAGAAGCTGCCGGCGCTTGTCAGTGTATGGGTGCCCTGTGTGTGTGTGTGTGTGTGTGTGTGTTGTGTAAGGCGTTTGTGTGGGGGGAGTTGTTTGTGCATGGGTTGTTTGTGCGTGGTGGGTTTGGGGGTGTTTGTGTGTGGTTGTCTGTGTGTCTGCGTGTAGCGGGGGCTGTGGGGAGGCTGTATGTGTGTGTGTGTAAGTGAGTCTGTGTGGGTATGGTGTGTGCGTGTGGGTCTGTATGGTGTGTGAGTGTGGGTCTGTGTGGTGTGCATGTGGTGTGTATGTGTCTGTGGTCTGTGTCTGTGGTGTGTGTCTGTGGGTGTGAGGTGATGCCTTGTCCCGTGGGGGGCCGCCTGCCCTCAGGACTCCGGGGCTGCGTGGATCCAGAAGCCCCACGTCCCACAGGGGTGAGGAAGCCAGGAAGGACAGGACCCTCCAGCTGCCCCTCCTCTGGGCGTCCCTGTGAGACCCAGGTACCCCCCTCAGGGCGTTCAGGGGACCCCCTGCACACGCCCCGCCAGGCTTACTGGTGACGTCCGCGCCCACGACAGCCAGCGGGGGCAGGTTGGGCGAGCAGAAGGCGGCAAACCTGCGGGCATCCACCTTCGTCACCCGGTTTCCTCGAAACAGCTGGTTCTGGAAGAACAGGCCGACCTGGGCGGGCCACGGGCTCGATGTGGGCACACGGTGTGCAGGGCTCAGAGACAGGCTCCGAGCGCCCGCCCAGCACAGTGCCCCTGGGGTCCCTGCCCATCCCCTGGAACGGGACACCCAGGCACTTATGTGGTGAGCGGGGGTCACAGACTGAGCACGGTTGGACGCCGGCCCTGCCCTCACCCTCAAGGAGCTCCTGGACCCAGTTCCCAGACACAGACTCTGCCCTACCACTGGGCCCAGGAAGCCCAGAGTTCTGGGGGTCACTGCCAGCCCTGCCCCGGGGGTGGGGCGGTGGCTACCTCGGGGATCACATACTGGCCAGCCATGAGTAAGGCCCCCAGCAGGTTCTCTCGGCCATCGCTCCACAGCGCATGGATGGGCACCTGCAGGGACAGACAGGGAAGGGAGGGCAGGAAGGCCCCACCTGGAGGTCAGCCCTGCCCTGCCGCCGGTCCTCACTCAGTGCCCAGAGAGGGCCAGGGGGAGACTGGACAGGTGGGTAGCTGAGAAGAGAAGCTTCTGGACGGGCAGTGAGCCCTGTTTCCCTGACCCAGCAGCACGCTGACCCCTCAGGGGTTCTTCCTCCTCCTCGCCCGGGGGCTGGGTCCCAACTGCCCCTCGGGTAGCCGTGGCCTCTGCCCCAGAACAGGTCTCAGAGTGCCGGGACGGGGCCTTTGGGGTGTGTTGGGGACAGGGACTCCGAAACCCACTCCGGATGCAGCCCTGGTAGTTCCACTGAGACCCAGCTTTTTTCCCGAGCGTTCTGTCGGCCTGGCTGTGGGGCGTGGTGAGACAGGCAGTGGTACCTGGGCTCCAGTGAGGATGAGGGGCTTCTGCAGGTTCTCCAGTACAAAGGAGAGCACCGAGGCGGCGAAGGCCATGGTGTCGGTGCCGTGGATGACCACGAAGCCATGGTACTGCTCATAGTGTCTCTGGAGGCAAAGCGGACGCACTCAGGCGCTTCCCAGACCCTCCTCTGAGCCCGCACTGCCCCAGATGTGTGAGAGGTGGGTTCGGGGGTCTCTGTGCATTTCCTGAGCTGTGCTTCTACCAGGAGATACCAGCAGGGTCCCCAGAACCCAGGCCAGGGGACGCCAGCCCTGGGCAGAGCTGCAGGGGGCAGGGGTGGTGGGCGTGGACACGTGGCCTGCTGGTGCCCGCAGGGCACTGGGAGGTGGCCCCCTAGGTGGAACAGGAATGCCGGGCAGGACGTTGACAGGCAAGCATGAGGGATTTCCCCGCCTCGGAGGGGTGGTCCCGGGTCACCATCTCCAGGGGGCGGCTGAGGTGGGACCTCAGCGGAGGGTGGGAGTGTGCGGAACCATCTTGAACGCAGGAGCGTGGAAGGCTGAGGCCGACCAGGAGCGTCAGGCGCTGAACTAGCGGGCCAGGGCGCCCTCTGCCGGCCACCTGGGGCACAGCCACCTGCAGGTCACTAGGCTGCGTCCTTTTTTGAGCCTGGGCATGGGTGACCGTGGGGGGTGGCTGAGGGGGAGGAGAGGGGTGTGGACCTGGGGCTGGGAATGCAGCTCTGGGCACTCCACAGGTGCTCAGGTCCCATCTGGAGGGTGCTGCCGGCTGCGCAGGCCCGGGGCCACAGGAACTGACAGATGGACAAGGCGCAGCCAAAGACAAGCACGTGGCCAGGCCAGGGAAGTGGAATCTGTCTGGAACGGAGTTTCTTCAGGGGCGAGGTGGAAAACGGGTCAGGATGGACGGGAACCCATGGGCAGGGAGAAAGGCTCATACAGGGGCCAGTTGGCCACAGTGAGGTGGGCAGGACAGACAGGGCAGCGGCTGAAGGGTATGGCCCCACCCAAACAGCGAGACCCCTCCACGCTCTCCTGTGTCCTTGTATGGGTCCTGACTCCATGGAGACCACAAGTACAGGGGGCAGGGAGCTGGCGAAAGGGGCGGGCCACCCAAAGATGCTAACTGCCAGATGCCAGCTGCTTCCTCCCAGGGAAAATGGACACGACCTTCAGGGACCCTCTTCCGCTGGCAAAGGGGAAAGCGCCCCAGAAATCTTGCACGAAGCTGTGACCCAGCGGTCAGATGTGACCCAGAGGTCTGATGTTACCCTGAACTGACTCCGAACTGCGCTAACATCTCAGGCCAGGCAGGCTTCCCCCACCACAGATGCCCCGCCCAGTGCCCCAGCCCCGTCCACCCGGCCACACCTCTGTCCCCGCCCTGCCCACACTCCAGTTCAGCGCATGCTCAGAATCCACCTGGACTCGAGTCCCACCACACTGTTCCATCTCAGCCCGCCCACCCGGCAGCCCCATCCACTCACAGCTCTGCCCACAGCGAGGCCCCACCCACCCACTGCCCCGCCCACTCACAGCTCCACCCACAGCGAGGCCCCACCCACCCACAGCCCCACCCACTCACAGCACGCTCACAGTGAGGCTCCACCCACACCAGAGCCCCACCCACACCAGAGCCCCACCCACTCACAGCTCCTCCAACAGAGAGGCCCCACTCACTCACAGCACCACCAACAGTGAGGCTCCACCCATACCACAGCCCTATCCACTCACAGCTCCTCCCACAGTGAGGCCCCACCCACCCACAGCACCACCCACAGCGAGGTCCCACCCACACCACAGCCCCACCCACTCACAGCTCCGCCCACAGCGAGGCCCCACCCACAGCCCCAACCACTCACAGCACCACCCACAGTGAGGCTCCACCCACACCACAGCCCTATCCACTCACAGCTCCTTTCACAGTGAGGCCCCACCTACTGCCCCGCCCACTCATAGCTCCGCCCACAGCGAAGCCCCACCCACAGCACAGCCCCATCCACTCACAGCTCCGCCTCAATCAAGCTCCACCCATGCAGAGTCCCCGCCCTTGCTCACAGTCCCACCCACCCCCCCCTCACTACCTCAATGGTCTGTGCGATCTGAACCCACTCGGTGATGGTCATGTCGCTGGAGTCGAAGAGCGGCTGGCACTCCAGGACGGTGTAGATGATCCTCTGGCCGGGGCTGGCGGGCCTGCAGGGGGCAGGAAGGTGGCTCACCCCCTCCCTAGGCTCCAAGGTGTCTGCAGGCTCCCCGGCTCCCTTCCACCTGGAGTCACTGGACAGGGCCGAGGATGGCTCGGACAGGTCGTCCAGAGCAGTGTCACCTTCCTAGCGCCAGCTCCAGGCTGGCTGGGCCCCGCCCCAGGGACACAGGAGACAGTCTCTTGTGGCCCGACGCTGTGCGGTTGGGGTCTGGGTTGAAGATACCATGGTCAGGAGTGGGGGGCGTTCTGACAGGCCCACAGTAAGCGGGGGCCGTGACATGGCCCAGCACTGGCGGTCGAACCCGTGTCCCCTCCAGAGCCCAGCGGCGCCCCCACTCACGGCAGTGCCAGGGTGTCGTCTGTGAGTCCACGGGCCCTGGCGTACTCCTCATCATGGAACATGGGCAGTGAGCGCAGAACGGCGGCCAGGCCCTTCCCGGGGACCAGCACTGCGGCAGAGTCGGGGCAGAGCGGGTGAGCAGCCTGTGGCCTCCTGACCACGACGCTCCCCGTGCATGTGGGGTGGGAGCCATGGAGAAGTCCAGGCCGGTTGTTGTCGGCACCGTGCCCACCTCAGGGCTCTCCAAATGGCCTGCGTGTGCCGACACCCACATCCTCCAGACCCTGAGCTGCACCTCCCTTCCAAGTCAGTGATGAATATCTGCCCTCCCCTGGCACCCCAGGACACCCTCAGCCCAATCCCGGCTCACTGGCATACGCCTCGGCCTGGGTCAGGGCACCACTTCCAGGAAGCCCTCCCTGAAGCCTGAGCCTGGTGCCCTTCTCATACTCCTTAGATGCCTCTGCTCCTCCTTAGATCAGCTCTAAGGAAGTCCTAGAGGACCACGGGAAAGCCAGTGACCCTGTGGCCCCTGCAACCTCACAGAAGCTCCTCTCCACAGGGGACCTCCCTGCCCGCAGGTCAGACCCCAAGGTCCTGGTGGGGGTCTCCACACATGCAGCCTTGCTGGAGGGGAAAGGGGACAAGGCCTGGAGTCCCACGTGGAGAAGGGCATGGTGTGGGGACACAGGCATGGGCACTGCTGGCGACCCTCCCCTATGATGCCTGAGAAGTGATCAGGACAGAAGTGAGCATGGAAGGGAGCGTGGGGCCCGCCAGGGTGTCCAGCCCTGAGATGGCCTTGCCCCTGGGCGTCCCCGATGGTGGGACTGGTGCAGACTGGTGGGGCCCCTGCATGCCCCCTGCATGTCGTGTCCACTCTGCTCCTGTCAGGAGGGGAATCACAGCAGCTGAGATTCAGCTACTTATCACCCGGGCGGGGGTATCTGGCGACCCATTTGGTTGGGGGTCCGCAAGCCCGGGCTGAGGGGGCTCAGCAGCCACAAGGAACCACACTCAATCCCAGCCCAGCCCCTCTGACCAGCAGGCACACCAGGAGAGGAAGGGGTGGGGGCAGCCTGTGGGGATGGAGGGGACATGTGGAGAGGCAGGGGAGTGTGGAGGGGTGTGCAGGGGTGTGGAGGGACTGTGGAGGGGTGTGGCGGGGGTGTGGAGGGGTGTGGAGGGCTATGGAGGGGTTTGGAGGGGCTGTGGAGGGGTGTGGAAGGGTGTAGAAGGGGGTGGAGGTGTGTGGAGGGGTGTAGAAGAGGGGTGGAGGGGTGTGGAGGGCTGTGGAGGTGTGTGGAGGGGTGTGATGGGGATGTGGAGGGGCTGTGTGAGGTGGGGTGGGGAGCAGTCTGCAGGATGGGGCCCTGTGCAGGGGTGAAGGGCTCCTGGCGTGGCGGGCAGTGGGTCTGGTTTAGCCCCTGTGTGCCCTGGCGTGTGTCCTGGCGTGTACGATCACTGTCACTGCGGCCTGGGCTGGGCAGGGAGAGGCCCTGAAAGCTTCCGGCCTGGGCTGTGTCCTGGGCTCCTGTGCAGGGGCAGCGCGGGGTGGTGGCTACCCCTGGCCTCCTGAGGCAGGTGGAGGCCCAAACAGCAAGGAGTTCCAGGCCCTGACCCAGGGGCCACTACAGTGGCCAAGACGCTGCTGGTGTCACTGTGCCCACAGCTCCAGGGCCTGCAGGAAGGGGCAGTCTGTGCCAGGCAGTAGGTAGGGCCGGGTGGGGCCGGGCAGGTGGGTCAGTGACTGGTGGCTGGGCAGGCGGGTGGTGGGGCCCGAGGGTTCGGCTGGGGGTGACCCGTCACAGCTAAGGCCTCTGAGTTCTGGGGGGCAGGGGAGGATGAGGGGGGGCGGTGCTTCCTGAATCCTGAATCCTGCTGGCCGGCCCGTGACACCTTGGCTGAACTCTGAGGGGATGGCCGGGTGTCCCCTGGCTGGCGGCCCTGAGCGGAAGCGGGAGGTGTGCACGGTGCCCTGGACAGTGCTGGCCGCGGGCAGACGTGCTCCCGCAGTGACGCCCAAACAGCCCGGCTGCCGTCAGTGTTGCGTGTTAATCATTGACGTGTCCTCGTCCTGGCTGTGGCCCCACCCACCGTCCTCGCCCTGGGGCCAGGGACCACCCGCAGAGCTGCACGTCCCAGCCCAGGTGACTGCAGCTCCAGGGGCCTGGGGACACTTGTCCTCTGCAGATCCCGGGCACCTGCAGGAGGACCTGAGCGGGGGTGTGGGGGCACCGCAGGGGACCCACAGCCCTGACCCCTACGCGGTGTGGGCACTCAGAGTGGACAGGCCGCCCTGTGCTGCCCCTGCTCTCTGGCTGTACTGTCCCGGGGGCGGGGGCGGGGGATGGCCTTGGGGCAGGGGTTGGGGAGGAAGGGGGCATTGGGGACAGGGAGCTGGGCAGGGGAGGGCGAGGGGGCGCTGCGCTGTCCTGCCCCAGAGGGCGTCCTGCCCAGCACACAGAGAAGCTGCTGTGAGCAGCATTTCCTGGGAATGTCGGAAACTTCCAGAAGCCCCTGGACGGCAGTCCTCTTCAAACTGACCCCATGCTGGTGGCACTCCCGTCCCTTGCCCTGGTCCGGCCGTCTTCCCAAGGGCACACCCCATGAGACCCACACCCCGGGGGCGCCCCGAGCCGCGCGGCGGGGGTCCCGCCCGCACGCCGCAGGCTGGGTCCGCTCCCCAGAGCCGCTGGCCCTGGACCCGGTTCCGCCCGGCCCGCACTCACCGCCGCCCTCGCTGCGCATGCCGATGGTCCCGCCCGTGTAGACGGCCAGCAGCCGCCGCTCGGGCTCCGTGGCGCGGGCCATGTGCGGGACGCTCGCCGGGCACTGCGGGCCGCTAGCCGGGCAGCCCGCGGCCGGAGGGGCGGGACGCGGCACCTGGGCCGGGCAGCGGGCGGGGCGGGGCGGGGACACCTGGCCCGGACGGGCGGGCGGGGCGGGGCGCGGGCACCTGGGCCGGGCAGCCGGCGCTCACAGCCCGCGGCCGGCAGGCGGGCAGGGGTCCGCGTGGCCGCGGGGTGCGGAGGGGGCGGTCCTGTGACGCCGGATTCCGCCGAGCTTCTGTGCATGACTGATGCTAACGCAGAGCCAGAGGCAGCGAGAGGTCTGGGCAGCGCGGGCAGGGCCGGCCGGCCCGCAGGTGTGCGTGCGCTCCCGGTGGGTCCAAACCCCCTCCAGGTGCGCCCCACTCAGAGCGCGGGCCAGCCCCAGGCGCCCCTCCCTCAGGTAGGCCCCGCCCCTGTGCGGTCACCGCCCCAGGCCAATGGGAGCTGGTCCATGCGGGAAAGCCTGAAGGACGGTGGTCCCGGCTCAGCCCCGCCCAGGGCAGAAGGGGGCCGTGTGCTGGCGTCCCTTGGGCCTTTCCTGTCCCCAGCCCTGGCAGGGACCCACTGCGTGTACTTTAGCAGGCGTCCAGGCCAGCGCTCGCGCGGGAGGACGCTGACCCAGCCCCAGGCTCTCCGTGGCCGGCCCCGGGGGGCGGGGCGGGGGGGCAGCCACACTGCGCGGTGCATTTTGTTCCAACAACAGGCAAAGCTCAGCTAGCCCCAGCTCGGCTGTCCCTGAGCGTCGCACTTTGCACTAGCTGGCCACGCAGGTCCAAGCGTGGGAGCGAGGGGTACGGCTGGCTCCCACAGCCAAGTGCCAGACCCCGCAGGACGCGGTGTGAACGAGGGCTGGCCATGTGCAGGGTATGGCCATGTGCCCCTGGCCGTGTCCCTGCCGGCCTGAGCCACACAGAGCTGGCTGGTGGCAAAGTTGCAGGTTGAGGAAAACCCCCCTCGGGGTTGCTGGCTGTGCTGATTACGTCAGGCCACTGATTTTCTGCAATGCTGCACTTCACCCTGTTAAAATATAAACCGAACGTCATGGAGCCCTGGGAAGTGGCCACGTGGCTGGGGTCCCTGACCCGTAGACGGGAGGGGAGAAGGTGGTCTGCAGCTCCCCTGGTGCCAGGTCTCACACCCAGCCCTGAGCCACACCTCACCCTTTCCTGCACAGCCTTTCACCACACCTGCCCATTTCCTGCAGTGGGCAGGGCTTACTGGCCACAGACGGATACCACTGAAGGAAGCCAACACCGCTGGGGCTGGGAGATGGCGCAGGGCTCCATCCTGGCACCGGACATCCCGCCTCCGACACACCCACCAGCCCCAGCGCGACTGGGCATGACCCTAGTAAGCCTCGGCCCACAGGACGCGAGCGTGACTCAGGGGCTGTGTGGCTGGAAGTGGCTCCGGAAGGCCCCAACCAAGAGGAAGGAAGAGCCGGCATCTTCCCACACCCGTGCGATTTGGGATTTCGGGTATTTTAGGGATTTCTGCCAGAAGCCACTGGGTTCCGATTGGTTTGTGTGCCTCTGGGCTCATGACCATTTGGGAGCAGAGGAGCCCTTCGTGGGCAGCGACTCAGGGCCTGGTCCGGGCGTGGGGAAGGGCCAGTTCCGCCCCCCCCCCCATCCTGAGAGACCCCGCATTCCCCGTCACTGCAAGCCCGTACCTCTCTGTCCAATAGGCTCTGAAAGATAGCGGTCACCATGCTGCTGCTGAGGGGGAAAAAGTGGAGAGACAAACACCCTTCCCCTCCCGGGGTGGCATGGGCCATATCTTCGTTCACAGTCCAGAGGCATTTCTACCAGAAGCTGCTGGGATCCCAGATTGGTTTGAATTTCATTTTTATACAAAGCTGTTCATGATTGGGTCTCAGTCATACAATGTTCCAACATTGGTCCCTTCACCAGTGCATTTCCCAGCACCAGTGTGCCCAGTTCCCCTCCCACCCCTGCCTGCCTCTCTGGCAGGCACCTCTCTTCTCTCTTCTCTCTGCCTCTTGTTTTGGGCATTATGGTTTGCAATACAGATGCTGAAAGGTTAGCATGCATATCCCTTTACCGACCTTCAACACTATTAGTTCCTGTCCAGAGCGGTCATTTCCAACTAACGCTGTCAGAATGGATCCTGCTCGACCTTAACTACCCTCCACCCGCCATACCCTTGTGGTGATTTCCAGCCATTGACCCGTCCTCCTGACCCGTTTTCCCTGGGTTTGGAATTAGTTTCATACTTTTTTTTAATGCCCCACAAATACATGCAGTCATTCTGTATCTGACCCTCTCCTTCTGACTCATTTCACTCAGCATGATACTCTCCAGGTCCATCCATTTATAGGAGAATTTCATGACTTCATTTTTCCTAACAGCTTGGCAGTATTCTACTGTGTAGATGTGCCAGTTTCTTTATTCATTCATCTGTTTTCAAGCACTCAGATTGTTTCCAGATTCGTGAAAAGTGCCGCAGTGAACATGGAGGTTCAGGGGGTCAAAGCCATCTACCTCAAGCCCACAGCAAGCATTATCCTCAACTGGGAGAACCTAAAAGCCTTCCCTCTAAAATCGGGGATGAGACAAGCCCGGGATTCCGGGTTCCCAAGCGGCGAGGTGGACAGAAACACAAACTCAAAAATGCAAAAGCAGTAGGAGTTTGATTGCAGTATACGGGGTCAGCAAGCAGTTTCTATAGGGTTTGATTACATAAGCAGTACAAACCTTACTGTTACTTAACTACCAAACAAAGGTGTTTTGGCAAGTGTCTAGGGTAACAGTGGTCAGGCAATAGTTAAACAATAGTTTCCACTAGCAGTTTACGGTTACAGATGCTACTCATTCTTTTTAGGGTTAACAAAAGGCAATTTGGGGGCATTGTGAGAACTGATTAATTGAGCCCACTTGCTGAGCACAGAACTTTCCCAGGTGGGTTCAGGTTGGCTAGTTTTGCATTGTTTTATTGCTAGGAAACTGAATGTTTCAGTTCCAGGAACTGTACCTAAGGCCTACCTGATTTTTCTCATTTCTGCCGCCTGGCATGGCGTCAGTTTCGCCCTTACACAAGGATGCCCAGTCTCGCCCCTTCTATTCAATATCGTACTGGAAGTACTCGCCATAGCAATTAGGAAAGTAAAAGATATTACGGGCATCCAGATAGAAAAGGATGAAGTCAAGCTCTCGCCATTTGCAGATGACATGATACTGTACTCAGAGAACCCTAAAGGCCACCAAAAAGCTCTTAGAAACAAGAGATTTGTGTAGGGGAATGGCAGTCTACAAAATCAACACTCAAAATTCCATGGCTTTCCATTATGCAAATAACGAAACAGAAGAAAGTAATATTAACAGCACAATCTCGTTCCCACGTGCTCTCTGCGGGGCCTGCCAGCCACACTGAAGAAGGCTTCCTTGGCCCTGGCACCCAGCGCAGAACCCTATGCAGTTCCTGCAGACGAGGACTAGATGGCAGTGCTGAGTCAGCGCCGGCCAGGGGCGCCTGGAAAGCCGTCCGGACTCCTGGGAGTTTTCTGGCACCATAGAAGCATGCTGTCGCGTGGGCCTTTTCTTTTTTGACCCCCGCCGCACCCACAACTCCCTGTCCTAGACCTTTTCCTCTTTTACTTGATAAAACCTTTCAGGGACCAGCGAGACAGTACAACAGGCAGGGCACTTGCCTTGCTCGTGGCTGACCCGGTTGAATCCCCTGCACCCCATGTGGTCCCCTGAGCTTTGCTGGGTGTGACCCAAAATGAAAAACGAAACAGACCCCCCACATCCCTTGCTGCGTTCTGTTCTTCGGACATTCTCCAGGAATGCTCCACACGGGGTGCTGCTGTCCGCGCCGGTCCTTAGCGGGAACTGGACTCCCTACGGGGCCTCCAGCCCTTGGAGTAGCGGCCGCACCCACAGCCAAACACCTGCCTTCATCTTGGGGTTCAAGTCCTGAGCCGGAGGCACCTGCCCAGCCACATCCTCGGGCTACAGGCTGTCCACTGGGCCTCACCCTGCGTGGGGCGTGGAGCCACCGGCGACTCCAGTTCAAGACTGGACTGTTCGCCTGGAAGCACGTAGCGTGACCACAGTGGCTGCGTGGAAGGGTGTTTCTTCTCAAGGGTTCATACCTACGGTAAAGACAGGACCTCTGGCAGGTGGCACAGGCAGACGGGTGGTGACAATGTCCCCCAACCCTTTCCCTGGCCCGAGTTTAGTTTTTTCATTGTTGTTCCCGTGGCCTGGAGGCCTCCCGGTGAGCCGCACCTGGGGCGCACGGTGTGTCTTGGGCTGGGGCGCCGTGCACGTCCCTCAGCCGAGTCTGCTTTGTCCTGCAATCCGCAAGTGCCTGCAGCTTTATCTTGAGCGTCTTTCATCCTTTCCCCTCCCCTACAGCCTGGAGGGTGACCATATCCTGCGTCATTTGCGTGGGTTGTGGGGGTTGGCCCCGAGTCTCACTTTGCGGGGTGGGTCTTCAGCTCACAAACAGTGGAAGTCAGACCCATGCTCGCAGCGGAAGTCTGGTCGTCAGTGAATTGACTTGTCATGGGGCCTGGCTACTTCCTCCGCTGAATTCCTTTCTATTTCCTGCTTCCTGACAGCACCGCTGCCCAGGGCCTGTCACAAGTGTGGCTGGTGAGCTGACGCTGAGCCACGCCCCATCCTGATTTTAGACCCTTAATACATTTTTTGTTTTTTGTTTTTTTTCAGAATACTCCCATTTCTCCCGTGGAGTCTCGGCGCCCACACACTTCAGCACACAGCATCCTCCAGGGAAACACACAATTATACTTGTCATTTCTTCTGTGACCCGAGTTATCTAGGAGCATTCATTTTTAAATCTCTAAGTTTAAATTTGCAAGGGAGGGGGTCGGTTTGTCAAAGTTTGGTGGGCTACGATCCAAAACCAGGCAGCGCGCCTGCCTTGCCTGCGAGAAAGAAGCTGCGCGCCCGCCCTACGGCAGGGAGAAGCCCTGCAGGAGTCACCCCAATCTGCTCCGCTGCACACAGGACCCAGGTGAGCACCAGGCGACGGCCAG